AAATACTGTATTTACAATGATATAATGAAAAAGTCACGCGATCAGTTAGACACCCACGGGATTGTTTCAACGTGCTTTACTCGATATGATATATATATCCAGTGGCCTATTTTGAAATATGTCACGCAACGAAAGCCCAGAAGTGTGGCCTGTTCGTGGCTTCCGTTCATCGCAAATACGTTGGATATCTATTTATTTCATTTATTCATTCGATTCCACACTTTGATCACGCGCCGCGCGTTTCATTTCCGATCGACTAATCGATGCCGGAGCGAATCATAATGGTATAGAAATAATTGAATTATAATTTTTATCTTCTTTTACGTTCTTTCAATGTGTATTTATGTTGTATGTATTATTTTATATTCTAAATATATTACACAAGAAAATTTTTTTATAAAATTAGAAAGAAGAAGAATAATTTTAAAGAATTTAATAATTTTAAAGATTTTAAGAATAATTTTAAAGAAGTAAATTGTGCACAAACAGAAAAATTAATGATGCAAATATAAATTATATTAATTTTAAAAAAGGAAAAACTATTAATATAAAATTCTTTATTTTTAAAGTATTCAGATTTATTTTTAGTAAGAATTAATGAGTAAAATCTTTTCTCAATGTTTTACACACTAACTGCAAACAACTATCCAGACTTAATATATTCATATATAATACATATAGTAAATTATCCCACACATATATCACATTGAAATTTATTCAGAAAGATGATAAAATATCTTTCTGACCTCATCCTGAAAGATTGATCAATCCATGGCGGATCCATGAAAAGCTTTTAGCAAATTGCGCACTTGTAAAAATCTTGTTTGAGTTCCTTATGAACTTTCATATAAGATTCTTTCAGTGAATTACCAGACATTATATACTGAGATTTAGTGAATACTTGTGAATAGCAGGCGTATATGTTTCACTTGCAAAAAAAGTTCGCATAGTTTCATGATCATGTGTAACAATCCGATTGGATTAATTGAGAATCCAGTGATTTTGCGGACAAATAAATTGAAATTGCTGTCAAGTGTCAATAAATTTACACTTGATATAATTGATAGAATTGAGAATCGATGCTATTGAAAATCGATATGTATACCTAAGAAATAAAGAAAGATAAAAATAAAATAATTATAAAATAATAAAGATTTTTTCCAGTTTCAATATAATTCATTAATGTTATAGCATCAGTTTAAGATAATATCGATAATATCGATATTTTGTTAGAATCCAGCTTAATAATTGACATTGTTTTTTACAATTATAGTAGTAATTAAATAATTTACATAATAACTATAGGTATAGTTCTTATCATACATGCTGCAATCATTTTCTCTTTAATTAATAATATAATTAATAAATTATTAATTAATAATATAATTAATAAAATAATTATTAATAAATCATTAATAAATTCATCATAAATAAATTAATAAATTATTATTGTTATAAATATCTGATGTGAATTAAACTAAATTCCCTATAAATAGAAATTCAGAAAGATTCGAGTCTTGTAAATATTTATCCTTGACACGATTTATCAAACACATAATTACAGTTAGGATTATAGTGGGCGACCCAAGGTTCTTAAGATTAAGGGTTATTAACTGGATGAAACGAGTTTATTTTACGAGAAGACATCTAAAAGCATGGTTTGTCATTAACAAATCTAACGTCTCGTGGGCGTCGAGATTGATGAAAACTTGAAAGTTTAAATTAAACATGTCTCAAAACTAGATTAATTTCTCGCTATCACAAAACGAGTGTTGAAGACTAGTATTACGTTTGTCTTTTCATTTTTCATTGACAAGACGAAACGAAATTACAGATGACGCGCATCAACGTATTCTTAAGAAAAGACAGTTCTGTAACTTATAGAATGCGGATATAATATAATTACAAAACGTCACGTGTAACATAATTACCGGTCTGGCCTTTGTTAAGCTTATAATTCTTATTAAATTATATTAATAACGAGTAATTTATTTAAAGTTAAAATATAAATAAAATATAATCTTATTAATTTAAATATAAATAATTATAAATATAAAATATAAATAAAATGTAATCTTATTAATTTCATGGGAAAGCGTCATCATAACTCATAAAAAATTCAGAAAAATTTAATTGTATTGAAAATAAATGTAGTTAAATTTGAAATTCTTTGAATAATTTATAAGGTTATCAAAATATATATTAAAATATTAATTTTTTTCACTGAAAATTAATCGAATCGCTTTATTTGCTGTGAAAAATATTTTAATATAAATAATATAATAAAAAAGAGGATTATATGATATTTCTCGTATATATTACGATATATCAACCAGGAACTTTGAGACATCCGGCAGTTTTCAGTTTCGAACGGAATTGAAATTCTGCACTCTCGAGAAATCGAGGAAGCGTCGAAAGAAATGAATAGCATTATCTTGAACAAGTTTTATAATGTGGTCAGCTTCCTTCACTGCTTCCTCCCAAATGACCTTTCAGCATTTCCTTTCTCACAACGGTCTATGTTCTATATAATTCTTTTATTATTCTTGCATAGATCGGTGCTTTTCTAGCACTTTATTGGATCAAGTGTAAGCTTATCGACACCGGACAGCAACTTCCTCAATTTACGTAATATATAATCTGTAAAATCGCCGGATTTTCAATTCTATCTATATTTTATCTATACGGTTCTCAATCTATGCAGTTTTTGAAATTTAGAAACTTTGCATTCTTATCATGCTATTCTTACCATGCTTGCTGCAATTATTTTTAATGCAAACATTGAAGATTTTCAAAATTATTTCAAAACAAAATATGCGCAAGTATCTTAGATAATAAGAATATCATAGAAAAAAAAATTGTTCTTCGGGCAAAACTTGTATCTAATATTTCTTTCTCTTTATATAAACGAGAAGACTAAGCTGTCACAAACAATATTGCCGTAAGAAAAATATTGACAACTGGGACAAAGGCATTTTCAATCATGCTGCAGGATATAGTTGCTAATAATGAAAATAAATTTAAAAAACAAATATGGGAAAATCTAATTTTTTAGTTAATTAATTTAATAAGCAAAATTTACATCTCCTTAGAAATATGGAAATATAAATAACTTTTTAATTATAAATTATCGGAAATGTTTAAAGCTCTTTTTATAAATTAAATGTTATTGACGTAAGAATGTTATTGATGTAAAGAATTTTAGTTTTATATTTTTTTTAACAGTTTTTTATTTGTATTCTCAATTTCTTTTGCATTATTTACATAAAATTTACTTTTTTTTATTAAAGTCATTCTCAGTGTTTTAGATATAAAAAAATTGTTTGTTAAGTAAATTTATATATATATATATATATATATATATATATATTTAATAATTATCTAAAATTATGTGGAATTCACTTTATAAAATTCTAATTTAATTTACAATAATTTATTTCTACAAAAAATAAGAAATTATTTTTGAGCAATTTAGTTTTTACATAAAAATACATAAAATCTGAATTTCAAAAATGTTGATAGTTTGCTCTTATACGGTATATTTACCATGCGAAAAAAAACGGAAAACTTACGGATGAATACCGTTACATGCAATTTTATGATTATAGCATTTCAACTTGATTTGCCGAAGTTCTGTCAATATCATGTAAATCCTCTTTTATTATATTTGCACAAGTTGGTGAATCATGTTATATTATTATATAATTAACTAAAATTATTTTTTTCTGTATTTAAATTTCGTATATATATATATATATATATATATATATAAATATAATCATCAACTGATCGTCGTTTTCCTGTTAGATGGGATCTAGTTCTTATTTTATATATTTATTTATATATGACATTTTTGATATATTTTTTGTATATTATAATTAAGATATTGGTTATTTGGTATAAATTATTAATTATATATGCGCGTCGAGAAGAAAATAAACTTTTCTATATCTTGCGTGATTTTTACGTGACGTTTCGTAATATATAATATGTGAATTTTAAAAAAATTCATTTTTGATTATGGTTTATATACTTAATATATATTCTTGGTATTTTTTATTTATTATTAATTATTTATTATTTTTTATTAATTATTTTATTATTTTTTATTTATTATTATTTATTATTAATATTTTTTGTATTTTTGATATTTTTGGTTTATTCTTTTGATACTCTTGATATTTTTTATTTATTCTTGAAGTCTTAGGGGGACTAGATTTAGAATTTTGATTAATTTTTTCAAATTATTAATAATAAGGGCTTAACTTTACATACTTTTATAATTGTCTCATTCCTTCTATTTAGAATATTTAGAATATTTAGATCATTCAAAACAGAATCTTAGTCATCGTGGTAGAAACTTCTGTCAGCTTTTCTAAAATCTCTGTTTGTCTTGTTGAGGGATTTGTCTTTTTTGACTGAGTGTCTGTTGATAGAATATTTGTTATTCACTTCTTCCCTCAAATAGTCTTAACTTTTATTGCTCTTTTTAGATATCTTGGGAGAAGGAGGGCTAATAGACTCGAGTAATATAATGTTATTTCAAGACTCGAGTAATATTAAATGTTATTTCAATGGTATGTTAACATAAATTGTATGACGAAATGATGATAATCATGCGAGTCGTAGACTTTAATACATGTGCATTTATAGCGAAATTTTAAAATCTTTTACTTTTAATTATATTATTAAAACTTAAAATCTTAATCTCTTAAAATCTTATTCTCTTGAGATCTGAATAGTTTTAAAGTAATATAATTTGGTTATACGATATTATTGTTTAACTTTACATACGCCGTTGACAGTTCTAATTCAATCACATAAAAATCAATTAATTTTTTTCATTTATTTTTATATGAACGATTATATAATGATAATAATCAATTATATCCTGCAAAAATTTGCAGAGAGAGAAAACGTACTTTTTAAGCTCGAAAAAAAAATATTAGAATTAAACTATTTAAATATAATAAAAATATATATAATGAATGCAATCTTACATAATCGCGTATTAACCAAAGATTTTTGGATTAACTCTGATGTTGGCAGTTTCTTCATATTTGTTGTCACTCTTATGCGTGATATGTTTAATATCGCGAGCTTGCGGCATGTCAGATTATCCGACCACACTGTTCACGCGTCTGACATCGGGCGCCGTTTCAACGCGACTGTCTTCCTGAGACATATCGTCTCTATATTGTCGGATCTTACGCATGTCCGTCCGACTTCCGACTCCCTCTTCCTCTCTTTCGCGCAACCCCATCATCGGTGTTCGTTCCATTCGAGGCTTTCCTCGTTGCACTCGTTCGTACACCTCTTGTGCGCCTGTCGACTCGCATAATCCCCACCAACTGTTGCTGTATAAATGTCATATATTTCAATGTATCAATATATGGTATATTGTTATATTTGTATATTTGTTATATTATTATATTTAATATTTGTTATATTATTACATTTATTTATTATTTATTTTGTATATTTCTTGTCTATTCTGTAGTATATCCTTTTTTGACTATTCTGGGTTCTTGTATATATCTTGTCACAATTAATAAACGGATCTTGGAATAACAAGCAAAATTTATTTCTTCTTAATAAAAATATGGAAGTGTAAATATTTTGTTAATCATAAATTAAAAGTTTAATTTAAAAAAAGTTTAAATTAAAGTTTGTTTAAAGTTTGTTACAAATTAATGGGTCTATTCTGTAAAAATGCTCTATAACGCTGTATCTCCATAAGCTATGTAGAGCATGTAACTGAGAGTAAAAAAGAAAGAGTGAAGAGCGAAAAAAAAAGAGCTAAAAAGCTACACAGAGCTTACAGAGCGAAAATTTTCTTACCGATTACACGACTAAATTTTATTAAAGCAAAAAATTGCGTAAAACAAAAGAATTTTAATTTTATGTATATTTTTTAAAAATTAATACAGATGTTTTTATTTGTACTATTATTTTTTTTGTATGGTTTACATAAAATTTATTTTTTCTTCGATAAGTCATTTTTAACATTTCGGTAATCTTATTCTTACATAAATATTGATACGTCGTAAATGTTCGACGATATAATTTTGTTTGCTGATTCAATAATTTGCAATTAAAATATTTTAATCTTGCGTATCAGAGATAATTTTTAGACTAATTGTTATACTAATTAAAATCTTGTTTACACTAATTAAAATCTTATACCACTTGTTCTACAAATAGTGGAAAGCTGATTTAATTTACCATTACATTTCGATAAACATATAAATTCCTTTGATAAAGAATTGATGACTACTTATATTCGTTCTATATACTATAAATACACAATTCGTCAGGATAAGAATTTATTCTTATAATATTTTATTGATATTTGTTTATTAATAATGATTTGAAGCTGAATCGATTACGGACTTGAAAAAATGAACATAAATAATCGTCTTTAAAAAGAGAGCAAATCTACAAATAATGTCGTGTTTAAAATTTTTATACTGAATTTGTACCAAACGAAAAAAACTAATATAAAATATACCAACAACACGCATGGAAAAACATGATTTAAAATTTAATTTAATTTAATTTAAAATTCAATTTAATTTAAAATTTTAAAAATTCAAAAAAACATTTTTTAAATCAACGAATTATATTGATCAGATTGATAAAATTTTGTTTTGCATTGTTATTTCGAAAGTATATAAAATAACCAAAAGCCAATTTCAAATTGTATTCTATTCTACATAACTTAATATAATAGTTAAAATCAGTTATTATAATTTTCTCTTGTCTTACAAGAACTATTTATATTCTGATTTGATTAATTAATTGATGTTGTGAAACGGCGCTCGGTTGGATACGTGAATTGTGCATGAATAGTTTCGAACAATCTTGCACGTCGCAAGCTCACCGCAATGTTAGACATGATGTCAATATCGTATAAACGACATATAAACATTCGTTAAATTATCGCAAAATTGCAATAACACTTAACGTTTTAGAAGAAAAATAAGTAAAAATAATTCCGTTAAAGATACCAAGTGCGAAAAAAAAAATTCACTATTTTACACATTGATTTAAATATAATTTCAAGTTTATTTTTTATAATTTGACAAATTTTTAAAAACGAAAGAAAACATTTTTGAAATGTTTCAAAATATCTGACATATGTTTAACTTTGAATCAACAGTCTGTTCAACAGTCCAATTTATTTCTCACGGCTTGTTAAACAACAATGTCAAACAGAATTTTCGATATATGTGTCTCGTTGTTAGCTTTGTACTTTTACTATCGAGAATGAACGCGATAGTTTAACCGAACGCTTTTGTACGTCCCAAGGCAAGTCACTCTACCACATCGTAAAAATTAATTACTGACGAAATAGAGATCTCGTGTCTCGGTAAATATTTTGTCTCATATCAAACTCACATATAATATAATAAAAAATTTTTCATCATTATATTTTGCATCAAAATGAAAATAAATGCAAGAAAAATAATAGCGGTTTTGCAATTTCATTAAATAGTTGATATCATAAATAGAAATAGTCAACCAACTACGTGATATTGCGTAGCAAAGGCTAATAACGTTCAAATTCCGAATTTGTGGCATAATATTCTCGCAGATACATACATCGTATGTACATATGATCTATCATTGAAACTTTGATCCTGAAGCATCATTTGATTCGATGACTTGTGCGTGTTGTTATCAAATATTCACTGTCTGTACATTTCCCACGATGTCGGTTTTCTCTATCTGCGTTAATTACGTCAAATTGATTACGATATTCGCAAACATTCAATACTCTCTCATGTTTTATACTTGTGCAATATTTAACATATTATCAATTGCATATTGAATAAAATTATTGTTTATTATATAATTTCACGATTCTTGGAAATTATTCAATTGTGCTCGATAAAACATCATAAAATAAACATCTTAATAAAATACATGAGAAAAATCCATATTCTCAAACTGATATGTAATAATATCTCTCGCTGATTTTATTATACAAATAATTTTAGTAAGGATTATAATAAAAATGGACAATTGCATATCAATTCTTATTATTTCAAGATGTATATTTATTAGTAAGTTATATTCAAGCATACAATTGTATGTTTTATGCACAAGTGGGATATATTTATATAAGATTAATTTATTCTGTGTTGACTGTCAAAGAAAAAATCTCATACAATTATTATAAAATCTTGTACCATGTTATTGTTATATAAATATAACAATAAAAACTGATTTACTTTATCATTAAAGTTTGATAGAAAAAAATCATCTTTGAACATTTGATTCTCAATGGAATATAATTGTACATATAATTAATCTCATGTAGCTATTTTGAGAACACATGTACTGCTAAATATTTAAAATATAAATTTACATATATTTAAAATTATATTAATATTAAAATTATATTAATATTATAAATTATTTTGAATTTTACATTAGATGCATTCATAAAAATATCTGAGTGGAATTTCTATTATACTAAACACTTGTGCAATAGTAAATACTGCATAACATGAGAAATAAATTCGTCATCAATTCGTGAATTTCATTAAAAGACAATTATGCGAAAATGGTGAGGTAAATTCGCATCATCATATTGAATTCGCATTATGATCTTTTTATTTTTTTGTTAATATAAATGATTATATATCAATTTATTGAAAATATTAAAAGTAGACCGGTTGATAACACGAAAGTAAAATCGTTTCATTATCAATAAAACTTTCGAAACTGAAAAGCTTTTTTAATCCATTTAAAAGCTTCGGATAAACACAAATGATGGAATATGATTGATTATAAATGATCCTATTCTAATAACGAATACTGTCAGATCATTCTTGCAGTATAAATATTATCAAAAGATTTGCAACAAGATGAGTCAACTGCATAGTTAGTTGAAGATGTTCGACAGATAAATTTATAATCTTTTTTTATCATAAAATCTTCAACAAAATTAACATGAGATAATCAAATCGATGAGATAATTACTAATAGTATTCTATCATTTTGCATTTTGAATTTTAAGATATTAAATTATTTTATAAAATTAAATATATATACATATATATATATATATATATATATATATATATATATATATATTATTTCGCCTTTTCTTCTTACACAATTTATTTTACAAATTTGTTTTAACAATTTAATGGTAATAATGTATTTTAATGAAAAGAAAGTAGACATTTGGTAACGAAATGTTTTTCACGCAGAATCGAGATTATAATCGTTGAATCATTATTATACTGCAGTTTCACGAATAATTCTATACGTATAAATATGTGAATTTATAATATTATAAATATTTAATAAATTTTATGTGATTACTACATACATTGTAACGATCTTATTCGATAAAATTGCGGTGCCATTTACAACATGTACATTGTCACTTAATTATTTTATAACAGTTAACAAAACATTAACATTAATTCTATCACGCTGCTTTCCAAATAATAATAATCCTAACCGACATTCATGGCGCATATTGCGTTTAGCGTAACTAGCGTATAACAATTAATTCTTAATGATATATAACAATGTACTGGCAAGGTAGTCAAAGACCTTCAAAATTATCGTTGTACGTATCACGCAAAGTTATCATTATGCGTATTACGCAATACAAAGTTAATTTGAAAGTCAATTAAACTCTATCCCATTTTATATTTTATTGTCCTTTCTAATGGCTTTGACGCATTCTGCAATTATTTAGCCCCTTATACCTTGAACGAGGACAGTCTTCAGGTGCGGTAAGCTCGTGTTATTGCGCTCATAATTATTGCGCGACCCGATAACTTGGCGATATTTTTTTACAATTTTTCACAGATATTTTTGTCAAGGTATCAATAAGTGCGTGATGTCGCCGAACTCGTACTCGCCCAGAAGAACGCGAAACAGATCTCTCATCGTGAGATGATGAATCGTCTCGTTCACGTGGCTCGCTACGTAATCCTGAATAGGCGGCAATATATCCGGTTTAATGATGTCCATTGCTTCTGGTGTTAACTCCTCAAAAACCTGCAAACAGATTGATTTATCCGTTCGATTTATCGAATTCCACGTTCATTTAATTCTGCATTGTATTTCCACCGGAATTTTATTCCATGCTATATGACACAGAAAATATACAAAAAATTAAAAGTAATTCAACTGTACATTGTAATTAAATGTACTGTAACTTTTTTATTGTCGGTTGGCTATCTATAATTCATTGTATATCACTTGGAAGTAATCAATTGACGATATGTAGCCAGATTGATGCGAGTGTGTGAAGTTCAAACTTGCGTTGCCGTCGAGGTGACAGATATGACCGAATTGAATGATTAATATTATACTCCTTGAAATGGATAAGCAGTGAATGATTAATTAAAAAATTTTGTTTATCTTCTATAAAAATAAATATTATTTTTCGCCTCGTAGATTTAATTTTTAAATCACACGAAATATTTAAATTACGAGATATTGCACGTTTCAAAGCATATATAAGCATTATTTAAAATTTATAATAAAATAAAACGAGATTGTGAATAACTTTAATAAATTGCCTAAAAGTTTTAATTATACAATAATTATATAATAATATTATATTTATGATTTTAGAAAAATTATCAGACTTTCTAATTACAGTAAAATAATAAAAAATATAATTATTGATTAATAAGCGATTATTGTGAGATGTATTAATTATTAAAAAAATTACAAGTTTTATCAAGAGCTTTTCGAAACTTTTTTTGATGATATATAATAAATGTCTGATAAATATATGATATATTTATTTTGATAAATAAATTTTAAATAATATAAAAAATATACACTAAAACTTGTTAGCCATATGAAGACAATTAGAATTTATTTCGTGAATAAAATATAAAAATTAAAGCTAATAGAGTCGCATCTCTAGAATTTTTATTTTAAAAAAGAAGATAAATTTTTATTTTATTATATTCTTTATAATAAAAACGATTCTGCTCTCGCAATCCTGATAACATTCGAAGATTTATACGAGCGTATTGTACTTTTGTGTAAGCTGTGTGTACAGTTTGTTTTACGACCGGTTGCCTTTTGCGATCGGTATAATATTTATCGGTGAGAAATTCTTTATGACCATTCTTCGATATCCGTTGCGATTTTTTCGTGATGCACGAGAACGTCAGTGGAGCGAGGTCACATTTGTCCGGTCATTGAAACTAAAAAATTCCAGGTCGTCCGTTGAATATTAAACATTCGATTCCGTCACCTCGGCGGCAATGCAAATTTCAGTTGTGCATCTGTCAATCTGGCCACGCGTCGTCAATTGATTACTTTCAAGTGACAGTAATGAATTATAGATAGCTAACGGGCAATGCAAAGTTAAAGTACATTTAATTACAACATATATGATTGAGTCAGACACATACTTAATTATGTATCATCTTACTTGGCTCATAATTTGCCCGATCTTCTCGCCGCCCATGAAGTTCTCCAGATATATCTTGATGCCGCGCAATGAGAAGTCGAGCTCGAATTTCTTCAGATACATTCCTCTTGCGTAGCCTAGCACGGTGTTTGCATAGGCACGGAAGCCGCTCACAGTCATCTCGAAGGGACCTGCACCGCGTAACGGATATATATCGCCCAATATTCCGGAAATATTGTAATAGCCCGTCGCCAAGATCTCGGGAATGGAAATGTTGACGGCGATGGTGGGACCGATCAGCGACAACTTGGCTCGGTCAATTAGAAAGGTCGACAATTTCCTCAACTCCAGGTTTTCGATCACTAGATGTACTCTGACAAACAGATTCACGACATATGTTACATGTACGTCTTGTTTCGCGAAGCTACTTAACACATTCCAATCGCAACAATTGGTATCTTTCATTTGTGGAGATAGAGACAAAAATAAATCTCAGATATTCAAGCGTCAGGAAAAGGGTGTCTTAATCACAGACGTTTGAATGATTAAAGTAGCTAAGAGAAGATGCGAGTAAAGTATAATTTCGATAAATTCAATTTTTAACGCTGCAGAAATTGAAGACAAGCGATACATTTTTATAGCCACGAGGAAATATCTGAAAGTTTACGAAATCGTAAAAATTTTAATCATGAGAATCTTTGTAAACGCTTCCTCAAGATTGCATACCAAGGCGCGCAACAATCGTTTCTTTGCCGTGATTCTCGTAATCTCCGGAATCCGATGTACCTGACCGCGTATCGATCCAACGACTTACTTTCCTATTTCTGGATTATCCGTGTCGATGTCGATTTCGTCGAGCGTGAACGGCTCGAGCGGAGGGATACCTAGCTCCGGGATGCCGTTGCGCATTCGGACGCGGAATTTCTCCAAGAATCTTCGCAACTTGAACTCGAGACCCATCGACGCGGCGCTGTCGACTGTCCACAATTGGACGATTAACATAAATGCGATTAAGATAACGAGTACCGATACTTACTGACTCCGGTCGTCATTCGGGTGGCGTTGATTAATAAATTTCTCGGTCTCTCCACTGCGTTGGTTACTACAATCAGAAGACGAAACATTCTCTCACTCTCATTTATCCTACTTATTTTATTGCGCCTGCTTGTTATTGCCGCTGCTCAGGCATTAACTCTTTCTCTGCCACGAGAGCCGAGCTTCCTGTGTGTTGTATGCCAATCTCTGCGTTGTTTATACATACGCGAAATTGCATACTCGTGAAAAGACCAACTTTGTTGAATTTTGCGTCAAAATCAATTACTCTCTATGAAGTATGAATATGATGTGTGTATGTGTGTGTGTGTATGAATAGAGAACAAATTTTATGAGGCTTCATATATATATATTTAACGATATAAGTTACATGTATGGAAATGCTAAATTTGAATAATTTTATTGACTTTAAAATAAGAATTGATCTCCATTCTTTTGCCAAGGAAAGTAAGACAAAAAATGTTATCTCTTTTGTATTACTTTCTAAAGAATCTCTCATTGCAAAAGTATAATACATTAAATACAATCAAAATTTATATAAATTCAATCATTCAAAATTCAAAATTTATATAATTCAATGAACTTGAAGGAATTTATAAAATATAGATTTTTAAATTATCATTAAAAAAATAAACTTAATATAATACTTGAATTTGTTGTATAAAATATATATGTTGTACTTTTAATTTAATTTATATAATAGAACATATGTTTGTGAGTGTATATACATAGAAAGTTAACGCGTGATAATAAATCTCTTAATTATATAAATTAAGAATTATTCGAAGAACACAGGTATCTCAGCATGGAAAGATCGAAGATAAAAGCGCGAAAGTAATCTCATGCATAACATAGCGGAACCGTTAATTAATCAGCATTGTGATCATTTTTTTGAATAATATGTCGGTCTTTGACATCTATCATTTACATTTGAATACAGTATCGCAATATGAATCGGCAGACGTCTAAATTTATTTCGAGAGTTCATTGAAATATTTATTATATCGTTTGCAGTCTTTAATGTTCTAATTTTCGGTGGTATATTATTGAAAAAAAAACTGAAAAATATATATTATGTAATTTCATTCCAATATATATAATATATAATTTCTTAGACATGACTAATATAATTTATTCTCATTGTAATTATGCAAGTTGAAATTATAGTATTTATTGAGAGTCAAGATTCTTTCTTGCACTTTCCTGTGAAAGTTTGTTAGCGATTCCATCTAAGTGGATAAATAAAAGCGAAACATTCAATTCGATCGTTCATATATTCGATGGCGACGCAAATGAAACGATTCGATAGCAATCATTTAAAAAGGAATTAAAAAGCAATCTACATCATGAACTTCCATAATGCAATTATAAGCGTATCGTTTCGCGATATAGAGAAACGCAATCTCTTCTCGATCAAATGCTCCTTGCCACCGGTCGAATTACGCGGCATTAATGTATTTCTCCGTCAGAGACTTCCGTATATTTGCATCTCCGAGAGAGCTCTTCTACTTCACATGTAGCGCATGCTCGGAATTTACGTAAATTAACGCAAATTACATTCTCCAAACCTTCTGTAGAAGTGCAATTGGCCGCTAATCTTTCGACATGCTCCACATGCGCTTCCATTTCTTCATTACGTTCAATAATATGCACGTACATACAGATTTACACAGATTTTACAAGATGATCCGAAATATTTTCGATTTTTTTTTTTTCAATATAAAATATTGCTGCTGAAAAAATATATATGTACGTAATATTTTCAATTAATAATTTAGAAACATTAAAAAATCTGGATTTAATTTAATTAAATATTTTTAATTTGAGAAAAGATGTTTAAAGGGATATATCCAAAATGAATCTTTCTAATTAAATTTATATAATTTATACAAATAATAAAGAAATAAATTAATAATTTTCATTAGTTCACACACACACACACACACACACACACACACACACACATTTGAGATATAAAGAAGCGTTTCATAAAATCAATCGAGATTTTCGAATAAAATTATATCTCAACATTGTTTCTTCAATACCAAACGCGCAAGTATTTGCAAATTTTTCGCAAGCAGTTTTTTTTTCTCTCGTTTTTTAGGGGAAAGCTGAAGCCGCATTTTAAGCGTGAAATAGGTGCATAAGCCTTTAAATTATCATTGCATTTTTTGCGAAAACGTACTGTATTCCGCGGCAGTATCCGTAACGCGATGCAATAGTTCTTTTTGCCGTTGCACGACTCTTGTTACTGTAACAAACGATCACAAGTCAACGAGGAGACACCTTTGCAAACCAAAACCGATTAGCCAAAAGTTGGAATGTTAATGTTAAATATTTGTATAGTAATTAACATTCAAATATACAAGGAATTTTCAATAATATAATACAATATATAATACAATAGGAATTTTCAATAATATAATACAATAATGTAACTGTTTCTTAGCATAATATTTTTTTAAATTAATACGGACAATAAAACAAAATTCACAATTGTTAATCGATTTCCGTGATATACTTCTCTTGAACAAATATCTCAAATAATTTTTTCAACTTAGATTTAAATAATATTAAATTCTTACGCAAACAGGAATAAAATGTTTTAATTTATAATATTATGTTTTTGTTATTTTCTTTTCTAAATCCTAAGTGTACTTAATTCAAATATAGATTATATTTAATATCATGGATATGAAATATGTATTTAGGTGTATAAGTTATTTCTTATATTTTTCTTATTAAGATATCTTTTATATTTTCTAAGCGCGATTGCGTTTTTTTTCTCGTTGTTCTTTCCAAAGCTCAAAGATAAATCGTATTTTGCATTACACAGATGCTTTTTACTTTCCTATTAATGCCTATCATACAATACAGAAGATGTTGATTAAATCCATGATGCACATTGCGTTTAACAATCAACTCTCAAAGCGCCTTTATTCCCACACGTTAATTAAACTGTTTATCGACGCTGATCGCGGATGCGAACATTGACTACCTAACATGAATTCGAGAATCGGTTTTCTGTCCGAGAACGGTTGAATATATCGAGCCGTTATAGTAATTAAATGATTAATCGAATTTGAGTTTTGATTTGTTGCATCGAACAAGGGAACTTTATCATGAGAATCGGCTTCTCGTTCAAGAAGCGTTAAATACATTCGACGGTTCTGGTGTGCAGTAATTAAATGATTAATTGAACTTTGAGCACAAGGACATTGTCCTGTTGTAATGAGTTGTAAGAAATTTGGACGCTCCTGTTTATTGTAACTTATAATAGCGTGAGAAATATTTCATAAACTAACAATCGTAATAAAATAACACTTTACTTTCGCTTTACATCGCGATTTAATGGAACATAAAGCAATTTATGCGGTTACGTTTGATTTCTTACACTTAGATATGCTTTAATCTATACATTAGCGTTATAAAGAAATCACATATTGAGTTTTCAATGTATTTATGTAACAAGTATACAGAAGATTATGATATTAAGAAATATCATTTATCATTCTTATCGTGTAAATATCGTTATGTAAGCGATATGACTATCAAATCAATATTTGATATATCAATATCAAATATTTAGCCTTTAATCTGGAAAAGGGAATCGTGAAAAACTACCAATTTGTTGTCGGATTTGTAGTTGTTGGATATTTAATGGATATTTAATAATGTATCATTCGCTAAATTAAATTATTACAAAAGTACTGAACAAAAATATTCTAAAAATTTTACGAGATAGGTGCGGTTGTTTTTTTTACGCATGTCGCGAATAAAAATTGTATTAATGCATAATTCCCTTTCATTAAACATTCAACTCGCGTTGATATGTAAAATAGTTATATGGAAATAAAGATGTGACTAATGCTGACGTTGGTGAACAAAAAACGTCTTACGTCGATTGATTTCCGACAACAAGAGAATCTCATACTTAATAGATATTATTATTCAATGTTAAATTCTTTTTAACATAATTATTAATTCGCTGCACAACGCGTGTATTATTGTCTGAAATCACTGTCTCTTCCGCGAATAAACGTGCGAATGCATGTTTTTACCTATTCGCGATATATCATTTCCAATAATAAAAAAACTATCCTTATTATAGAATTAATTGATAGTCTTTATCAATCTAATTTGTATTAATGAATATTAATTTCATTTTATTAATAGCGCCGTTTGTTGCTGGAAATATTTTATTTTGAGTTTCAATTAATAAATTGAGTTTAATTTAAATTAAATATTGAGATTAATTTTATTTTCGGAAATATAAATCTTTCGCGCGGAAAAAATGTTTACATTTTATATATTTATATTTTTAATCTACAAAAAATATATTTTAAATATTAAAACAATGTGTTTTATTGATTTATAGCTTCCGACACTCCAAGTGGAGTTTATCTATGTTTGAACTATACAAATATTTTTTAAATAATTGCACAATACATCGGAATGTCATCTTGAATGTTTCATTTATTTGTGTTATTATCGTTTCGCGATCATCTCTAAAGTCCTATCTCTGAAGTGTTTAATTTGCATTCTTTTATAAAAATATGTCAGTACATTTATCATTTCGCATGAGACATGCAATGAATTATTATTTAAGGTCGATCAAGTTGGAATAATATTTGGCTGTAATCTTGCATCTGATTAAAAATTTAGGTCATCGGATACAATAAATTTCGCGTTTATGCTAATCATTTATGCAAGCTATTGCCGTAAGTTAAATGCCATGTTTAGGAAACTCTCATGTAAATTATGTAAATTCTGATTCACAAGTTATTTAAACGGGTTATAGTGACTTAAAGGCTAATTCAATCTTTTGCTTTCATCAATCAAATACTTTCAATCTCGCTGTTGCTGGCGAGGAAAGGTCTTTTCATAGAGCTTTCTATAATATCATCTATTATCTAACATCTTCGCGTACTTATACTTTCCATCCATCCTTAATTGATACTGTCGTATCGTTGTATTTGCGTTTTCACTTTCATTGAATCGTTGATTATAGCGTTTCGATATTAAAAAGCTTAAATTTTAAAACAGTATCTAAATCTAACTCATTTTGATTCGGAAATCAAATTATTGACAAAATATACGTGTCAAAGTATGCGAAAAAATATTGAAATTTATGTAAACTCACTTATCAAAAATAAATGATAAATAAAAAGAATAAAAAAGAATTCACTTATCAAAAATAAATAAAAAATTATTATGCATCTTTATCGATACAAATTTAATAAAGATATTAAAATATTTATTTCTGAAATTTTTAGCTACAATAATTTTTTTGTTATATCGCATTCATGTGAATATATCGCATTCATGTGAATATATCGCATTCATGTGAATATATCGCAATTGTGTGAAAATAATTTATGCAAAGATATATAATGTTTAATTGCGTACTTAAGTTTGCTATTTAGTCGTACAATATTAATTATTAATATATGTATTAACTGCACAAACATTGATTAACAGAGCTGCATGTTAGCAATATATTTCTAGTAAACATTTGAAATTAAATAGTGTACAGATATTATGCAGGAATGAGTTAATCAGCGATAGGTCCAAATGCACCATATAATCTAGAATATTTTTCATTGATGTAGCTCTATGTGTTTTATTTACTTTTTACAACATCGATTCTATATTCTAATTTTAATTTTTCTAGATTCTAATTTTTATTCAATATTTCTCATTTTTATTCACACATTTTTATTCTATATTTCTTTAGCCCAATATAATTTTTTTATCCTAATTGCTATTTTCGTAAATATCTATGGAACATTCGATAGATTCTTTGCGGTATATCGAGATTGACATTTGGATTAACTCACGGAAATTAGTTGCACTATTCGCAACGTTACCGATTCCATCCAAGAGGACGGAGGGCAAGGGCTCGGCGGGCGACGTACTCGCCATCCTAAGGACGACGCCGACGACGCACATCATCGTCGTTGGAAGTCGGCTTACGCGATACCTCATCGTCCTCGCGCGTGACAGGTATATATCTCATACAGATACGTATACAAGATCGGAAGTGCGGAAAACGCGCGGAAAAGAGACCGTTCGACCCGCTCCCGTGGAAGCAGGAAGGCTGACTGACAAGATGAAAAACCGTCGGTAGAGTTTACTGCTGCCGTACACGAGTTCGACTCCTTCTGCTTGTCACGTGCGTGTGTAGATGTGCGAGCGTGTCCAGAGCGAAAGTGAACGTCGTACACGCGCGCGCGTGCTATTCATGTCGACATTTACATTTGCTCGGTCTCTCGTGTTAAAATGCGCTCCGGGCGAAAGGTCTGCGTTGCAGAATTTTTCAAAGACCCGCGCATCTGACATTTTTCGCCGGCCATTTAATCCTTAGCTTATCTGACAATCACAAATGTCAATTTAAAATATCGATCAAAATAGCACACATATATATATTTTTTTAGATTTTAGAATTTTTGCTCGAAAGATTCTCGAATGAGTGAGCGAATCATACTCTACATTTCAAATTATTACACCTGGTCTAGAAAGAGAGTGAATAGATTAATTATTGCATAATCGAAAAAAACATTACGTTTTCAACCTCAATTCTTACAGATACAAAAAATCATATGATTCAGTCACGAATCGACCTAGCTTGTCACTTTTATACATATTGATGAAACATAGGAACGCGATCGAATGGCATGGCTTTAATTTTTATGTATATATTATTACGAGATTTCGAGATGACCGGTTTTACAGAGAAACTAGGATTAAAGAGAGAGATAGAAGATTGGTTTAAAGTAGAACTAAAGTTGACCGACTGGTGAAACCGATCACGGGTCACATAAATGTACTTTCTGTGATCGTCGTTTATCTAGATAAATAAAATGCTTCTTTGTTGCTCCGCGCTATTCGAAAGTACTCGTTATCATTTTCCACACGATATGAATTATCATCATGCGACATACGTGAATAGGAATCTATTATTTGCCTGTTCACGTGTTACGAATTCCAAGGATCGTGTCAGTTCGACCCTCGTGCGTATGTAATGCGTCTGGAGAAAGTGAAGGTCTTACATACTCGTAGGATTTATTATATTGAATGTTGTAATTATGCAAAGTTTTAATTGATACGATAGTTCTAATTGATGCGATAAAAATCTATCACAAGCACTTTCACAAAACTATTAATACGAACAATTTATTTGTTACATCATCTCATATCGCTATGAGTTACATTATTTGAATGGAATCTCATGGTGGAGGGGGTATCTGTAATTTTTTGAAAAACGATCTTATATTAATTAAAGTGAGATATTAAGATATATTTTTCACATATATTTTTTAAAATAAGATATTAATATTTTTCTGATACCTTTTATCTAATAAATACCCTTTATATAATATGAAAATTGCATTCCTATCTATAAAAATTAAGTTAAAAATTTTCTTTTATTTCTGTAAAATTGCAATTTCGGGCTTATATCCCTATGTGATGAAACCCATATATTATTAGAATGATAAAATATATAAAAATAGACTAGATTCTATTTACATCTTAAATTTAATCCTTGCATATAATACGTATACATACGTATTTACGTCAACCTTGCACTTGAATATTGACATTACGTAGCAATTTTATTGTAAAAATATTTGCACAAAAGAATTATCGACCGTCACGCTACGAGCTCGAACTATGATTATATTTTTCTTTTTTCCCTCTTTTTTTTCACTCGAGATTGAGTAACGTTTTTGTTCTCGTTGCTTCCGCATGTGCTATTACGACATGTAACTGGATTAACGAGCTGTAGCGGACTTAAATTCGTTCCTGCGTGAATGCAAGCAATTGTCACTCTCGGATTCTCAAAAATATCTCAAGCAAAAAAAGCATAACGCAACCGTACAACACGTGTTCTAAACAGAGGCGATATAACAAGTGTAATTTTTCACACTCCTACAATCTCATTTTTGTTGATTTAAAATGAATGCGATTATTTATTATTTAACTAAATAATTTAATTATTTCAATATTCGATTATCTAATAATTAATAAGAGAAATTGCAAGAGTTTTGATATTTCTACGTTAATTATATGCGTCAAAATTTATGTCAGTTTTATTACAGGTGTGCATGGAAAATTGTAGGCAAAACACGAAACTACATTAGACTTATTTTACCTTATTTTAATAAGAGTGCACTTGTATATCGGCGTAGATACTATGAATGAATTATAACTGATATACAGAAATTAAGTACAACACGTCTACATAGACACGTTCTACTGGTATACAGAAATTAAGTACAACACGTTCTAAATAGAGGCGATATAACAGGTGTAATTTTTCACGCTTCTACAATTTCATTTTTGTTGATTTAAAAAGATTAGAAAGCGATTATTTATTATTTAATTTAAAAATTAATCATTTCAGTATTCGATTATCTAAAGATTAATAAGAGAAATTGCAAGAGTTTTGATGTCTCTACGTTAATTATATACGTCAAAATTTATGTCAGTTTTATTACAGGTGTGCATGGAAAGTTAGGCAAAACACGAAATTACATTAGACTTATTTGATCTTATTTTAATAATAGTGCGCTTGTATATTGGCGTAGATACGAATGAATTATAACTGATATACAGAAGTGAAGCATAAAAAATGAGAGAATTTCTATGATTCTATTCTACGATCGGATGATTCGTGATATAATCGCTTTCGGCCGTTTTCTCGATCACGAGGTCTCAGGTTAATATTGTGTAACTAGACTTATTACATGCATTTGCGGACGCGGAAGCGCGTAAAAGTGGCTGCATATATTCGGGCGACGGTGCAAGGTAAATTGTCGCAATAGACGTCACGGTGACATCGTGAATAAAAGAGAGCACACGCGACGTGTAAAAGTACTTTACTTGTTGCGCGAGGCTACGTGACGTGCATTGTTATCGTCGGATCGTCCTGTGAGGTTCTCCATCTCGAGCAAGCATCTCCGTAGCATCGTAATCGAGCAATTATACCTCCAAGAGCCAAAAGTCGTTACCTTGGGAGAAGAAAAATGCACATGCTTCTAGATGTCTATTTGCGAACAAATTCTTCCGACATTTATTTTCATCGCGAATTAATATATAAAAATTGTCGTCAGTTCTTAGAGGGTTTTTATTCAATTGCAAGAGTTGTATGAAATTAATTACAAATTTTTGAAATTATAGAGATAATGAATTTAGCTCTCTATAATTTAAGAAACGTATTTATTGGTGCATGAAAGATTACATTAATCTAAATGGTATAAAAAATATATTCTGGACTTAATGTCTTTCTTTAATTTATATTTTTGTAACTTATATTTTTATATTATTCTTACAGTATATTTAGCTTTTATCTTTATGCGAGAATGAATAAATAACTAAATACAATTTACAGTTTTAATGTTACAGCAACTTAATGCTTTTGCAAATGCAAAAGTTACATCTCTAACTTTGCAATATCAACATAATCTACTTATTCATATCGGCGATTGATTAAAATGAAAATATTAGTACAGCTTCGTATTCTCCAGAGAATATTCAACGAACAATTGCGACGACATTTAATCAATATTAATTGTAGGTTTGTAACTGACGGAGAAAAATAAAAGGAAAAGAAATTAACACAATTATTACACAGTCGCTTATTATATCATCGCACAAGAGATAGCTGTAAATTAATATATTTACAAGTAGAAAAAAAATGTTTCGGAGTCTTTGTATGCGATGGGCGATTCGAAAAAGTACTTGTGTGTGCGATGAGTCCAGATCGTTATTTATCGTCCCGTAGGTTGCTCCGTCGTGGGCTTCGGGTAGACCCATGGATTCGGTGCATACGGTGGTCTTTGAGGTATCGGATAAACGGTAATTGCTCCGGATGCGATTGGACCGGGAGTTGGTATCGCGTCTGCGAATATCGCGAGAGCCATTAAAGCTGTCGCAACAAGGCTAACGATTTTTTTCAGTGAAACCTGAAAATGAGGAATGTAACGAAGCAACGTTAAAAGAAATGTGATACATGAATTTTAATGGCGATCCGAAACTTTCGCAAAACGAGAGAAAAATCTGAAGCTTTTCATTCTTATTTAATTTATGACTAAAAACACGATATGCTTCTTAAATTTTTATTCTCAAATTAATAATCGTTGATAATGTTTATAATAAACGCAATATCGATCGTTCCTTACGTATAGAATCTTTTACCATTAAGGTGATGAAAAATAATTATTTCTTTTTGTTATTATATCATTTAGGTATTTTGTAATTTCGCGACAATTTAATCTGAAGTGCGATCTAGTCCGACTAGTTTTGCCTGTTTTTCTACTGGTTTGAAGCACGATTGAGATGGTATTTTTTTTTTCAACGCGACTTTCGTACTTTGTTCCATTGCATGTGCAAATGGGCGTAAAAATTTATTTTTCAGACATCTTAATGTGGTGAATTTTTATCGGTTTTGCGGATCGTCTAAATTGCTACTTACACCGATATAAAAAGAATGAATTATGTTACTTTCTCTAGGACTATTCGAATTATGCAGTTCAAGAAATAAATAAGTTAAATAATATATGCCAAATGCACTGCACATTGCACCTCTGTTTTCAATTAATTTGCATTGTAATCATGATTGAATGAAGGTCTATTGCGAATTTATGAACTGTCAACTGCAAACCCATGACCATTAATTATAGTCGTTGCTTGACAATTCTTTTCAGGATAATAAATCTGTTTTCGTCAAAATATTTCGTATGCAGTATAAATATAAATGAGTGAGCTTCATAATCCAAAGATTATGAAGAAAATATATTGATTACAAAATATGTAAAAATATGTAAATTTGTTTTCGTCAAAATATTTCGTGTACAAATAAATACAAGGGCGTCTGTGAATATGTATGTATGTCTTATTTAAATTATAAAGCAAAAGAAATCGATCACATAATTTTATTTCGCATTCGTTTTTTAGATAATTCTGTAACATTAGTCACTTTCCATTTAAATAGACGTCATTAAAGCGTCGTAGGTAACTATTTTATTTTCTTGCTGATAAAAAGATAATTACATTTAAAGAAAAATGATCGTCGGATATGTTCAACTATAAATCGTGATCATTATGCAATATATTATTATTAAAAAGACTACATTTTTCGCGCAAGAATAATTCAATTAAAAATAATAAGATATACAATTAATTCTCTTTTGTGAAGTTCCATCATCGATAAATCGATAAGTCTTCGTGACAAGAATGTACAGTCACTACTCGTTTTCGAATGCAGAAATCGTCGATGTGCAATTTAAGTTGAAATCAACCGCGTTTCCGGAAAGAGAAAATCGAGAATCTTATTTAATTCACAAGTTCAACGAAAACGGGCGCTCGACAATTGAGTTAATTTAAATAATTTGTCGCACGACTTTATTATTTTTGCTGTTCGTTCATTACTGATCATTACTGTGATTTTCCGTTATTAATAATACATTTTGCAAAATATACATTATTAACTTTATTAATAAGAAATTGCGGATTTTATGCAGGAACGCGTAAAATTCGCAATTTTGTATTAATAAGTCAATAGATCAAAAGAAATCGAAGAGAAAACTATTAATTATAATTTATAAAAATTATACTATAACACATTATATAAACATATGTTTTTTTTTATGTAGATGGAGTTAATTTTAAAAAATTCCAATACTTAACATTTTTTAATATTTCGAGTGTCATTTTCGTTATTAATTTAAACTTGTTAATAATATATACATAGGATAAACATACATACACGATATACAGATGCATTAAATTTATTAAACTTATAATAAAATTAAATTTTTTGTTTTTATATATATTAATATTTTAAATATGTAAAATTAATACATAATTATAAAAAAAAACGCTTCAATTTTTAAAATGAAAAATTGGAATTTTATATAAATCATGTTTTTTATATCTTTTCTGTCTATTTTTAGCAAAGTTTAATCAATAAGACGTAACATATCATAGTAGATTGCGTATAATATTCTCCGTATATATTGTTACCATGATATTGGAGATCTTGAGTGTTCTTTGATGAAGCGATGCTTGAGACGAACAGTACGCATTTTCAAACGTTGGCAGACTTTTTATACCGGTGGGTTATACGAGAGGTGGATATTTGGGTCAGGATACGTGGGAAGCGATATCGCCCGTATATTACGAATATCCAAGGAAGTTCCTGTTCAAGGAACTGACCAGGTGTTCATTTTCATTCATGCCGGTCTTGCATACAGCATTCAACATTCATTACGTATATATTCATATCAATAAATAAATCGTGAAAGGAAGATTATATTAATCTACATTTCTGTATAAGATGATATTAGATTATACATTATTGTATAATTAAATATATATTTATATAATATTTAATTAAACTACGATTAATGGTAAATAATTTTTGCGCAGTAAATAATCTTTACGAGTGACCTACAAAAAGAACGATTTTACACCGTTTATAGTTTCGAAACTTGAGAAAGTTGACGTTTTGATATTGCTATGTATATAAACACTTGCCGCACTTTTTATTTCGTTGATTTTTCGTATTACAACGCATAAAATGGCTAACAACAAAGATAGACGAGCGCGTAAGTTTAATAATTATTTGTCGATATTTTTTTATACTTATTGTTAATGGTTAGGATTATATTTCTAGGAGGCAATTTTCGGAGGATAATACTTTATATACCGAAAATGCTGAGCAACAATTACCTAACAGTCCTTGACATGCTTGCTATTCGCAATTCACGTGTTGAATGCTAATGAATATCACTGGTTTCCTAGAATCGTCTTAAACATTATGTAAATGTAAATCGCAACTTTGAAAAGTCTCACTCTATTACTGTTTGTATTAACAATAAACTTCATGACTCAATTTTATTTTCATGAATATTTTATGAGAGTTTTAAGGAGGAAGAGAAATATAACAATATGTTAGAATTGAATCGTAGATCGAAGATTATTTGGAAATAATTGGAAATAAATTTCAACTTCGTAATTTATTATAATTTATGCAGTTGATTAGATATTCGATATCAAAAAGATTGCGATAAATCAATATTAATAGATCGGATTATTGATTGGAAAAAATGCTTCTAATTTTATCACAACATCTGAAAATGAAGTTATATATGTGACATAATATTATATTTAAACAAATTTTAATACTATTTTTTTTAACTACATTGTCTTTAACTTTTAAGCGAGATTGATCTTGTTAATGCATTTAATTTGCACATGTGTGGTCATCGTGATGTTAATGAATTTTTTTTTGTACGTGACTTTTAATCCGCGATCTCATTTCATGATTCATCTAATTGTAAGTAAAACAATATACGAGCATTTAAAGGATAAATTGCTGTTATGACTTATCGTAGCAAAAAATGAAATTCGTATATAATTTTTTTTTTATTTTCGATGATATCACTTTAAATATAACATTATTGTGCACACAACGCTATTTTGTAGATTATATATAAAAAAATATGTATATTCTAATATTTTTCTTTCTTTAAAAAAAAATTTAGATATAGATATTTTCATTTTGTACATTATTTTATATATTTATTTATATAGAGTTTATATTTTATTTAATTTATATGTTTAAAATATTATTTATAATAATATTTTATCACATACGAGCGAATTAATACGTAATTGAGTTACTTTACTAAAAATGCAGCTCAATTATAAGGCTTATAAAATCTGCACTATTTGGCATTATTTTCCTTGGAATGTAATTATATGTAAAGATACGTCAAATAAGTATATTTAAACATATTTTAAAAAAACGAATCCCTTGAGTTTCGTAAATATTTTGTACGTATTTTCTAAGGTGATAAAATGAAACGATAGAAATTGTCATATATATCCAACACATCAAAGATCATAACTTATTGCTGACGTTTTATCTTATCACCTTATTGTATGTTCCTTGAGCAGCTTGAGATTAAGTTATCATTACGCTGTTATATTACTAGAAGAATTAACTTCTGAAGTATTCGATAATGACGGAGCCACTGCCTCATCATTAACGTAATCCTCTTTTTCAGTCGCGTGTTTAGACCACGATGAAAATTGTATGATTCTGAAAAAAATAATAACTTAAAATTAATTTATTTGGATACGATAAACCGAACAATGCGATTTTCTCTATTTTTCAAGTTGAGAAAAAACGTACAAATATCTCAAGCATGTAGAAAAATTAGAATTTACTTACAAGATAAGCAGAAGCACGGCACTTTGTGTGGCAAACGTCAACCAAAAAAAGGAGTTGGGTGAAGTTTTTATCGTGGCATTGTATAATTGAGAGTACAAAGTACCACTGAAGAGCGGCACCGCATTATCGCACACGGAGAGCACCGCAAATACTTTTCCTATAATTAGCATGATAAGATTTTTTTTAGCTTAACACAGAAAAGAGAAGTCGCTAGAAATGACGATGTCAACGTCGTTCATGATATTCTCTATTCATAAAAAAATCGGTGCAAAGCACGATTTTCTTCCACATTTATGACAAAGATGATTGAGACTATAATTGTATATTAATCTTTCGAGTTTTTTATGTGTAAAATTAAGCACGACAAATATTCTTATTCGCATACCCAGCTCTTCTGTAAATACAAGTTTGGAAGTCATGGATCTGAGTACAGGTGCTACCACGGGGCCTAACGCAGAAACGGCAGCTCCTGTAGAACGATTATTATAAACAAATTTTTAATTATTTCTCGTGCGACATGCATATCTTTTATGTACAATTTGGGATATTAATTTTTTTTTGGAAAGAAAAATTGTTACTTACCTACGTAAAATAGTTCCGGTTTCTTCGCTAATAAAAATATTATTCTTCCGGCTGCGTGCGATATTGCTCCAATTGCTACGATGAACGTGTCCCTCATTCCTATCCATTTACTCATTATAGGCACCCCGATAAGCATTGCTGTTGAAACAAAATTATTTTTAATATACTGCATTTTACTCCTTCGTATTTCTAATAACATTTAATTATTAAATAAAAGTTAGATTTTTTTTTATATATATTTAACACCCGAAAAAAGTGTTTAATTTTTATACTTATTAACCTAATGGCAACAAGCCGTATAGTATATTTTATAAAAATCGAATTTTTTATGAAATTGAATGACTTCAATTTTTCGCGCGACAAGGTTGTAATTTTTTTATTAATCAAGATCGTAAATTGAGTAAAAGCAAAAGTTCTCGATTCGTAAGAAATTTCTCCTTTCACTTGCGCGTGTCCCCCAACATACATTGCGAGCTATATATTGCGGTGAGAATTCACAAAATGTTGAGGATTTAATTTGACAGACCATGCTCAACTGACCTAATACAAAGAGAGTCGATTGGAATGTTTTGAAGTTACTGTAGTCTGTCACGTTCCAGTTGAAGATCAATGAAGTATACAATTGAATCTTGGCTCTTTCGTCTCTCTGGAATGTATAGAGGCACATTGCGAGCAGGAGAAACCATAGATGGAGTTTACCATGATTAAGCCTCGACTTCACCATCGTTCGCGTCGTTGTGACAACATGGTTCATATCGAAAAAGTCCACCAGCAAATTAGTATCGGTTGGCAACGGTTGCTGTCGCGGTGATGTTTGCCATTTGAGCCGCATCAACGAATATATGATCGCCAACGCAAGCAACGTGGCGTTTATGATGAACATAATCGTGTAAGGCAAATTATCCAAGTGATTGAATACGTAAGATCCAAGCGCGACTCCTGCAAAAGAGAAAAAATATAATTCATTATTCAAGTGCAATCACGTTATATTGCATAACATTGAAGAATCTAATACATTTTATATATTTTATATGTTTGTGGACGTGTTCGCAGAATGAACAAGGAATGAATGATTAGTGTTAATAAATGTTAAGATGAAACGAGATAAATTTCAGAGTAAATAGTAAGCAGCTCTAAACAATGTAAGAAATCCAGAGGATGTCTTCAAAATTTCTTCTTCATCCTTTGCAAAATTTTTTAAGGAGATAAGGACACAATTACACTTTCTCCGAGCGGGTAATTTTTTTCAAGAGCGAAATAGGCCTCACCCGACAACATCGTGCTGAGATGACCGACATCCAGGATCGTAATCTTCAGGATTTTCTGTTACGGAAGATATGTTCAATAAACATCGAGATAAAGGAAGGATAATTTCAAAATAAACGTGCAGTTCTTATTCAAACACTAAGAGAATCCAAAGGATACCTTACAAATTTGCATCGTTCATCAAGATTTTAAGAAAACGAGAACACAATTATACTTTCTCCAAGCGGATAATATTTTTCAAGAGCGAACTCGACCTTACCCAATGACATTGTGCTGACAATAGAGATAAACATTCAGATAGACATTCGGGATCATGATTCTCAGGATTCTCTTACACATGGATAGTCCGATAATATTAATAAACGCCTAGATAGAGCGAGGAAAATTTTATAATCATTGTGCAGTTCTTATCCAAATAATGCAAAAATACAGAGAGATAGAGTAAGGCATAGAATATAATGCAGAGAGTTAAAAATATACGCATTGTGTTTTTTTTTTCTTTTTTTAAGGAGATATGGATGTAATTATATTTTCTTTGAGTGGATAATTTTTTCAAGAGCGCACTGGATCTCACCCGATGGTATCGTGCTGAGATAAATGACATCCAGAATCGTGATTCTCATGGTTCTCTGTTTTACGGAGGATATATCTGATATGTATGCGAAACAGCTGGCGAAAATTGCAACATCGCCGCCCAGTAAACTCATCGGCAAGGTGGCCGTGTACACCACCATGTTCAGATTCCAAGAATCCATCACGGTATTGATCACGATCATAAAGGAGTAGATAAATTTGCCTGTCAAGCCAAGGACGAGAGGCAATTTACGTCCGCGCCGGTCGCTCCAGTTTCCAAAGAACATTGCTAAGATAATAGGCATCACATGTCCGGCAATATCGTCCCATTGATGAAATTCCGAGACGGTTATCTGCAAGATCATTCTCTTTAATAAGTCATAATTGAGGAACGATAGTCTATTATCACTTTAGTATTAAAAGTATTACGTTATAAAAAATACAGTCTTGATTTGCAACGTAACAGGAGGAATTTCGAAAAATGCAAGTGTGAAAAGAAATATTTAAAAAGATTGCTTGCTCGTTCAATTTCGTAAACAACTTGAGATATCAAATAATCTTATTGTTAGTATTAATTTTAATGATAAATTAATTTTAATTAATTTAAATTAATTTATCGAGAAAATGCATTTTATTTAATTTTCTGTTTCTAATGAATAAATTTGTAAATCGAAGGACTTAAAAAAATATATATAAAGAAATGATGTGTACTACAGAATACACACATCTCTTACATTTACTAAGATACATTTATATATGATATACCATTTCATCATTTATCTTGTACAAATATTTAATTTGAGAATTGTCTCGATAGCAATCCCGTTTTTTTGTCATTTATCTTCAATCGATAAACAGATAAGACAATTGCATTTATTGTAAGTTATCAAGGCAATTCTCAAATTGGAAATTTATACATGATTAGTCGAATTTATAGTCGAATTCGATAATTTCACGAGTCGTTAGTACTATTGTGTTCCGATATTTTAATATTATTTTTTCTCTTCTTTTCGCTTTCCATTTCGTTTTTTTTAAATATAATACATAGTAATTTTTACCTGCACTTCGGTTTTTATCGCCGTATTGTTATTATCGTTCAACTTTGAACAGATTTCTTCCGAGTATCCGTGATCCACTCGGCATGCTTTATGCCTAAAAAAATCTTGCTCGACGACCGATGTGAACATAAACGCCAACATGTAGAACCACATTGCCGGCTCTACAGATATATGTTTTATCCATTCAAAAAATTGTTTGTATATTCTGTTTCTGCGAGATTCCACTCGTGGTATCGCCTGAAAGATAAAATTGAAATTAATAAGACAGAAAAAATCGTTGATTAATTTTTGTAGCATTTATAACAAACGTAAAATTATAAAGATTTATAGAAAATTTGTGTATATAACATATACACAAGCTGTTTTTGCTAAAGTTAAAATAGCAAATATAAGTAAAAAAATATGATTTGAAATTTCATTGATAACATTTAACTTACTAGTCTAGTTCTAGAAAACTAGAGTCATCTGAACAAATGTTTTCGTTAGTTTTTTCGATTTTTAATTATATGCATTGTGTTGAATATATAATTATAGTCATCAAGTTAATTAATAATTCATACTCATTTTTTCATCTTGTGTAAATTTCATCTTGTAAAATATTCTGTAGCAAGCGTTAAGATTAAATCGTGCATCCCTTTGTTTCCGTTTAGTTTTGATTCGTTTCGTTTTCATTGCGATAATGTCTGTCGGCCTTTAATCTTTGAACTTCTAGTTATCGAATCTCGTTTACATTTAGATAAAACATACTAATAATATTCTTGGTGTGATTTTATAAGCTTATGAGCGAAATAAAAACAAATGTTTGAGGGAAATAACTACTAACTCTCTAATTATCGTTAAATGAAACTATAATTTTTTGTTAATATTACTTCTTTTTTTTCATCTAAATTAATAATGAAAAAATATCGATTGTGTGCAATATATATGCAATGTTGTCGATAATATAATTAATAATATATAGAATCTCAAAGTATCAATTTTATGAAATTGTCATATAAAACTATAGAATATTATAAATAGAATATTATAAAAACTATAAAACTATAAAATATGGAACTATAGAATATTATATATATTATAAAATATACAGAATATTATAAAATTATAAAATTCTCAGAAAGCCCAATATTTAAGGCTAAATGTGTATCATAGATTAAAAGCAGCTGCATTTCATGCAATCATTATATATCACATTAAAAGGAAATGATTGTGCTACTGCTATAATTTAATTATTAGGAACTGCTAATATGTAATTATTCAGTACTAATAATTAAATATTACAAATAGAGCATTAATGAAAATTATACAAAATAAAATTTAAAATATATAATTATTTTGAATTATTAGAGATACTTCAACTGGTTTTATGTACCTTGCTCGTTAAATAATGCTAATGATAATATAAATATAATTATAGTTATAAAATAATATATTATAATATTAAAAGAAAGAGAGTAATGAGAATAAAAGAAATAAAAAAGAATATTTTAATTATTAATATTATAGTATATTATATGAAATTAATAATTGATAAGATGTGATCGTATTAAATGATATACAGATATCAAAGAAAATTTTCTCCTAATTATATATATAGGTAGAGAGACCATTTTTTTTTCTTATAAGAATATTTTTAGAAATATCAAATTTTAAATTAAAACGTGTTGTATTAAATCAAAATATCAACTTACCTCATCGGCTTTAGGGATAATCACTACTTTCGCCATTTTTTTATTAGAGATCTTTTTACTAAAGACCCTTTTTTTCTTGATTACACAGAAACACTTTTTAAACTCGTTTCAATCGATAGTTTTATATGTTCGTCATTCTTGCAAAGTCAGTTTCTTTATGTATCGTATAACCTTATTTGAGCGTACATTCTCGTGTAATATTTGCTGAACTAATTCTTTTTGTCATGAGCAAGCGGGAGTTGCTTATCTATAGAATTCTTTCCTAATATTAAGTCGGCTCATTTTATTACCGATTACAGCAGAGTGCTAAAAAGGCTCGAGTTCTGGAAGAATTAAATTTTCTCTTCAATCATCTAATTATTTGAATGACTGGCGATATAATTTGCATAGCAATCTGATTGAAGAAAGATAAACAATATTTTATCGATGCAAAATTATTGATTGAGCTAATGTTATATACGTTTTTTGTATCTCGTTATGTTACTTTATATGTTCGTGCCACATTGTGTTCGAGTTCATTGATTAAATGGTTACTTTGAAGAGGAATCTCCTTGAAGAGGTATCGTTACAAATATTGAGGAAAACGAGTCATAAAATAAAATTTATCTATTCCAATATTAACTTATTTTTATGAGCGATTGTTATCATATCATTATTTCATATCGTTATTATGGAGAAGACGTTTAGATAATCGAAGCGAAGCCGGTTTACAAAATTGAGGTAATTAAATATTGTGAAAATTAAATTTTTAATTTTATTTTATGAAATAATTACTGAGAAGTTTTTCGTTATGTAACGCAAAAAGTGATAGCAGATATACGCTTATTTATTTTATAACAGAATTTATAATTATTTGTAATATATGTCTAAAGATGTATTAGATAATCCGATTACTAGTGAGAGATGCGTGATCATTCAAAGCCATTCAGAGTTTTTTTTGTTATTATATCTATTTGATAACAATGTAGATATAAATATATAATTGCTTTTAAATATTTTATTAGTTATATATTTTATGTGATTAAATCGATAAAATCAATGTAATATAGATAAATAACTTCAAGGTGTAGATTTTTTACAAATACGAATGATTGAATGAAAATTATAATGAATTAAATGAAATTTATAATATAAGAAATTTATAAATTAAAAAGTTAAATATATATATGAAGTTTTTAATATCTAAAACAAAGATAAAAATTTGTACGATTAACCAGAATATTAAAATTATTATTCGTACTAGTTCGAATTTAATATTAAAAATATTATATTTATACATATGTGATATTTATAAGTTTTTTTAAGTAAAACAAACAAATTTTTATTAATTATCCAATACATTGACACTATCGTATCAATTAATACTAGAAATACTAGAAATACTATTAATACTAGAAAACAAATTTGTATTTACATCTTTGATTAATTTATAATCTTCTTGTAGAAATTGAATTTTTTTAAATAAAATTAAATTTGTTCTCGTGCGTATGATTCTCTAAGTTACGTTAATAATATTCTTTTTTACTGAATTTTCATAAGTTCTAATATTACTATTTTTCATTTATATTTATCAATAGAATAATGGTATAATGGAATAATCAATCATTCGCGATTCGTGAACAGCTGTATGCATAACCGGCGCGATATCGTTCGTCCATGTGATTCGAAATAATATTATGCAAGACATGTGAATAACGTACATTTACAATTGAGTAAAACCGACAAGCACATTTCACTTTTGACTGACGTCTCTGTTCGTTTGGATCGCTTTGTTGAAGACATTTACATAATCAGACACTGGGTTTTTTACACTATTATATAATCTGAGATAAAGATGATTCAGTCAACAAAATGCGAGACTATATCGTCTGCCAAATGCTGCACAAAACACGTGCACTTTATATCGTGAAATGTTATCAGCTGATAAATATATCTGAGCACCCACGTGTTTTCCCGAGTATTCGTGATGGTATCCTAACACCGACTGTAGACTTAACTTACACCAGACCAGGTTGGCCATTCTTAGTCAAAGTTGAAGTAAAAGTTGAGTTCGGCGACATCTTGTGGTGTGGAGAAATCAAAGAAGTTGATTTTGAAGAATTTTTTAATCAAAGAATGTTTTTAGTTTTGGTGATTTCCTTTTAATTGATTTCATTTTTCACTCGAATTTATACCAGAGAAATAATTTTCCGGCAAATGTTAGTTTGTATTGGATTTTACGGTTGGCACTAATGTAAAGTATTGATTTAGCGGCCTTAGTTTCCGTGGGAAATTTGAAAGAGCCAAGTATATTATTGAGTGAAGTTACAACGATATTATATTATTGAATATTATAGATTACAAAACTTGATTTTTTCATATATTTTTCGATAGCTCTTCTTTTAATGATTTAATTAATTTTCTGAGAGATTAAATATAAGCGTTGAAAAGTTGTATTTTAAAATTTTTGATTGTTTTATTTAAACATCAGAATTTTGAATAGTTATCAATTTTCAAACAATTCTTTTTCTTTATTAAATTATAGCAAGTTGTAATAAAAGTATAAAATAAACTAATAAAATAATTATTTTACATCAAATTTTTTTGTAAACTTTTGCTGTATGTGTTAAAATTGAGAAAGTAATATTTTGCAGTATCATTTATTAATAAATTTATAAGTTGATTGCTTTATTTGAAATATTCGTTTGAACTATTTTATTGCACTCTGAACTATTTATCAAATAATGATGAAATCTTGAGAATAAATACATCAAGTTGGATAGAATGCCAGTTTCTCGCTAAATTGGGTTAATTGGAAAGGCTAAAGTAATTTGTGTGCGACATACAAGTATTCTAAAAGTATCGCCAATATTTTGTCATTTAAAAAGTATTATTTTTTTTAATCCAAAAGAAAATTTACCTTAAGTTACTTTTTGTTTCAACTGTACTTTGTGTTCAAGTTTCATTTTGCTTAAAGTTTTTTCTCCAATTGAATTAAACAAAGTAGAACTGAAATTATTGCTATAATAAACGTCATGTAAAAATAATGAAATAAATTGCGTGAAAATTATATAAATCTGGATAGAGATCATAAATTGAATAATTGGTAGATAAAATCAACTGAATTATTTTTTTTCTTTTAAAAAAATCTGTAATAGGAAAACAAGAAAAAATTGAGGAATCTTTAGTTTTATTAAAAATTTATTTCATATCATCAGTGTGTGTTAATCACGGCGCGCGATTGTGGCTATGATATAGATGTGTGTTTTCAGTAAAGACTGAACTTTAGGCCATCGAAGTTACATCAATTTTTTTGTGGATAATAAATAGTCTTCACTTCTCGTCCTATTTTTCGTGCACTTTCGATTTTATCTAAGACTCTCATAATCGATCTGCATCGTTATATTGACCTATAGGATCGACATTTTGTCGACGTCATTGACGAAGTTTCCGCATTTCACTGTCGTAGGCAAGAAATGTGACGCGGAAATCTGGATGGGAACACGCTCTCTGCTCAAGGAAATTTGTTCCACTATATCGATTAGTACATTCCAAAAAATTCTTACGATATACTTATTAATCATACTAATTTTAACAGCTGTTAACTGCCGACGAGCCATTAAACTTTCCACTTACACTACTTTAATTATTTGTCTATAAAAAATTGTAACGTTTATTAATTTTTTTATTAACATTTGAGATTTCTTTAAAAAACAAGAATTATTTTCTTTACAAAAGATAAGTTACTTCATCGAGCTTTAGATGTTTGAAAAAATATTTGTAATAATGGTTTATAATTCTCGTCGACAGGATCAATAGCTATTATCATTATATTTGGACAAATAACTTTTTGACGCTAAAGAGCTCCTAGGCTGTAACATGTAATAAATGGACTTATGACGTAAGAGCTTACTTCGATATAATGCGGTGCACAATAAATTCGAATTGGATCATTTGTGCTTCGACGTTGTCGTCTTAATGTTTTTGGACGTAAAATTTAACGAGAAATTAATAAGATCGATGTTGTAATGATGAAAATTAGAACTTTATGGGAAATGTTCTAAACAACTTTGATGACTGAAAATATTAATATTATTCTAATATGCAATTTTTTATTTTAAAGTATAATTTTATTTGTTTAAAAATAAAATAAATTTGATATTCAGGATGTCCAGTAATAATCATCTCATGTAGAGCGGATTAAATCGAGTAAAAGAGTCCTTTACAATTTTATGACTTTTACAATAATTAATATAAATTAAATATTAATTTTAAAAAATTAGCCAATTCGTAGAAACACGCAGAGAAAAGACAACGTCTTATTGTAACGTGATTAGACAATGAATGAAGTGATGGAGAGATTTTAAATTTTATTATACATATCTTTAAGTGAAATGTTTTTAATATCTTCGAAATTGTGTTTTAAGCATTTATGTTTCGATAACCGAGATGCATAAAAGGGAGATTTTAGCACAAATGATCCATTACTTACTAATTAGTATGATTCGATCGCGTACCTTTGCTCTAACAATCGCACATCGTTACATGATTAGCTTCGTCGCTTACGTCAATCAACATTCAATATTAGCTGGACCTGCCAGCGCGATTGGAATTCTCACGAAAGCTGAATAAACTTGATGCTTATTTGTATTTTATCATGCATCGTTGATCAATTGATCGATCGATGATTGATCTAATCGAGCGTTAAGTTTGCGGCTGCACGCATAATCATACCGCGAAAATTAGCATTTAATTTCAATTCGACGTGCTCTGACACATCGTACACTTTTTCCACACATGATGTCTTATTATTTAACAAGTTAAATTATGTGTACGATAAACACGACACTTGTTCAATCATTTAATTAAGTTAATTAGACTTGTCAAAATATTTTTTACATGCTCTACTGGTGTGTCTATAACAAATATAGTTTTTGTTTTATTTATCGTTTGGAGAGAATTGCTTAGGCGCACAGAAGGTCGATATGTATATTTTTGATCGAGAAGATCGAACTCGTGCCGCGCCGCGCCGATAAATACACATCAACGTAATTAACATCTATGTATACATTTTGGCCGAGTTTGTACACATATGCTCTCAAGCGCCTCATATACATACATACATACATATTTACATGCCTAATGTAGCTAATGTATTAGACATTGAATATTGCAGAATGTCGGCGTTTTCTCGTCGAATCCGCATTTTGGGCGATCGATTGTTTCTACACAAATATTTCTCTCAGAAATTACATAATAAATATAATTTCTATGATAAGTAATTTCGATATCGTTTTAATGAATTCGATTTTCAGCTGCGAATAACAAAAAAATATCTTCCCATTTTAGATAAATTTAAAAATTATTTTGTGAACATTTGAATTGTTGATTCTATAAAATTGCATTTATTTTTATTTCATCCGTATATTTTATAAAATACTTATCTTTTTATCTTTATTCGTGATTGCAATTCTTTTGTTGATTAAATCACGTTGGTTTTTCTTTTCTATCTTTCGAGGAAAAGGGAAAACGGCTTGTTTATTTATTTATTTGTGTTTCTTTCAGGTAGTTTTTCACTCTTGTATTGAAAATCATTTCTCGTTCTCGTTTTTCATTTATTCTCTATAATATATATTGTAATCTTTTTATATAAAAATCTAATAATTTTTTAATTAATACTGGGCAATAAAAACTTTTGCAATTAATTAACGTTTTTCGATGTTTATTTCTGCAGTTTTTTTTCTGAAACAATAATAGAATTAAATAACTGGACATTCTCTCATAGACCATTGAGATCGATAAAAGAAAAAAGAATGTTATTCATTGATTGGTTACAATAACATTCTGCAATTTCATTAAGTTTCTGTCAGAAAATTGGTTAGTGTAGAAAATCGCTCGTCCAATGTTTCTTTCTGCATTTTCTCGGGGAGTTTACTCCTTTAATTATATGAATTTACTTTTATGAGCTAGAAGTCCTTTAAAATCTTGAAATCAAGGTAGAGTTTCAACTACGGACGGGCAAAGGACTATTTAAAGCTTTTAATAGAAAAAGATGTTGCTTAATAATACATGTATTAATTAAAATTTTAATAAGTAATTTTATATAATAAACAAATTGCTATATATGTGTATCCGAAAATTTACAACGAAAGATCATATATATTACAATTTACAAATCATTTTCTCATTACATTTTCCAATCGTAGAACAAATAAAACAAAACAGAATACAATTTTTTTTAATTATTTGTTAATATTTGTTATATTATTAAATTTTTATGTTTCTATCACTTTTGGCCGGATTGAGTAATATAATTTATAATTTTTTATTCTGAATTCTATATTCCGTTATATTTTCTCATATATTTTAATTAAAAATTTAATTACTTTACTAAAATATAATTTTTGGTTATTTAATGAGAATACAATTCCCCTAATTAAAATACAAGATATAAGATTAATGATTTTTAGCGATCTTTATAAATTAATTAATCTTTAAATTATATATTTTTGTCAAGAATTTTCTTTAGAAGCAATTTTTAATAAATTCTAGTTTTGGGAAATGCTGGGCTTTTTCTTTTACTTAAAATATCGACTAGCATAATTATGAAGAATAGATATACGAACATAAAATAAAAATAATATTTTCATACTTTTAGAGGCGGCTACAATTCAATCGTCATTCTACATAATTACATTCAATTATTAGTTTGCCGTGGTCCCCTTCTTGTTAAAGCAAACTGTATACATATGGTGAGGTTTGTTCATCCACGGTTTCGTTGTATTAGACTTAATCTTTTTCGATTTATTTTGACTACATACACGTATATATATATTTATGGGAGACTATTTTCATATTGACTAGAATAATACAAAAATTTGTGTCAAACATACAACTTGCCAGACATGTGTCACGAGAGAATAATAATATCAATTATAATAGCAATTAATTTAGAAGTTATTAAAAATAATTCAGTTATTACCTAACAAATCACATAAAGAATTTAGGAAGAATCAATAATAAACATTGAACTAATCAAAAAATAAAGTTTCTTTAGAAATAATAGTTTATTAGAAAACACGAAAATTCACTATATATTGGATGTCATAAATTATTTATAGCAATTTTTAATTGTTAAGGTTTAACATATCATTGCACAAAGTTCTCTACTGCAATGCTGCATTTTATACTATAAATCCATAAGTATATATTATGCGTGTTTATTTCTTCGAGGATGTTGACATTCTTATTGTTAATATTGGCGTTCTTATTGTTGTAAGAAAATAAATCCTTTTCCATGTGTAAAATTATTATTATTAAATTGTTTCTCGTGTCTCTCAAGGAGTATTGACAAGTTATGAAAAATATTTATCTGCTTGAAATATATATATGTATGGAACATAATTTTTTTTATCTCGAAATATATGAATGTAATATATTATAAAATTGATGAAAAAACCTTTCTTGATTTGTTTTTGCATTTTATAGAAAATCAAATGTAAAAATAATGTGTAAAAATGTTTGAAAATATGATTAGATATAGATTTATGAAGAATTTTAGCTACATTGTAATTGTGCGCTATATAATACATATATATATTTAACTATATACGTAAATTGAAAATTGTTGCTACATAATACTTCATTTAATTAACATCATATATGCTCATCCTCGAGAGAAATTTTTTTGAGAAGTCGACTTTTTTGGCGACGTATCTTCCTGTTCGAGCACAAATTACACAAAAATTATCCTCGGCAATACCACTCATTAATATTAGATTATCGCTCAAAGAGAAAATTGAAAATTTCTAGCGCAATCACATACATTATAGGCATTATTCAAGTTTAAGTACGATATAGCTGGGAGAAGAACTTGTCACTTCCAGCTTATCTCTTGAAAACGTCCGGTATTTCGGTACATATTTACTAACTTGAGTTTATCAGATATTTCCACTTGCTAAATAGCTATATTTCAAATAAATATGGATTTTCGATGAAACAAAAAATGAATTAAAACTAATGAAAAATGCCAATTAACTTGATAGTTTATAAAAAAAACAATTATGCTATTAAAAAATATTATATTTTTTCGTTCTGATTCTTTATTCCATTTTTTTAAGCGTACGAAAATTAAATAACAGTTTATTTTTATTGCAATGTAAATGTTGCATTCAATATTTTTTAGACAAGTATTTGTTATTGAAATGCTTCCAAAAAGTTTATATTAATTTCGAGATTTTATTTATCACTTGAAATGATTCGACAGTTGTTCTTTAAAGTTGTATAATTCTTTTAGTCTTTAGTTAATTCAGAAGTAATTAAGCATAACTCGCTTTAAAATCCGCACCGAAATACCGGGGATTACTTTTGCGAACGTCGATCACGCTTCGTTTGCCTCTTAAAACTAGTGGCGTAATTATTCCGTCTGTGTGTCAGAGGTCGATTGATGTCGCTACGGACGGTATTCGACTCCAATTTGTGCACACGCGATTTAGAAATTACGCGGTTGTTTTTGGGCTTCAGTATATGGAAGAAGTTTTAAATGACAAACGCAAGAATAAAAAATAATTGGAATTTTTTTATCTTCGGTGTGACCCGTCGTTCGTCGCGAATTCTTGCTCGAGCATTCCCACCTGTCGACATTATCGATTCATTAACAATCGAACAAGAGCCAATTTTATATAAGAATTATATAGACATAAACACACAAATTAATTTATACAAAATTATATAAATTAATTTATATAAATTAGAGGCTACGAAAGAGGTCTTAAATTTTTAATTTCACGTATTTGCATAATGCAATGATGATACTAATATACTGCGCTTGGTGAAAGTTTTAATTTTCCACAGCACACAACTCGTTAATTGAATCTTTGATGATATTCATAAGAGTTACGGATCACTTGAAAAATTAGTTTTGCTACTTTCTGCACCTCTATAATAACAAACTTTTATATTCAAACACATATTAAAATTTCGCAAAATTTATAGAATTTTAAATATTTTGATTACTCATAATCGCGCGTTAAATATTTGACCATTGAATTTGCTATCATTTTATACAGTTTCTTGGCCGTCTAAATATGCTTTGTTAATCGATTCATTTTTATATACGCTATTTTATCCAGACAAATTTTTCGCATGCTGTTGGTACGCGAAATATTTCGCTGAAAGTTTCCACGATAACGAGATTTTATACAAAATATTCATCGAGTACATTGTGTAACTGATTGTGCATGTGTCCTCACCAATACACGCATATTTGCCCGACGCGACGATGCGGTTGAGAGTGTTACATAACGATCCCCTAGCTATGGAGGCACTTCAATCTCGTGGCGAATCTATTGAATCTATTGGTGTGGCTTGACATAGCAACTTTACATTAACAAGATATTGTTGCGCAATATGCACAGCGATATGCGGGTAAAATCTTTCACGCTGTTAGACGATGCATGAATGTATCATAAAATCAATGAAAAAACGTATAGTAAAAATCCGAAAAAATATGTATTAATAGATTAATAATAGCAAAGCTGTTTCTGCAGAAATTTATTTATTTTTTTTTAGCATTTTTGTTAAATAGAATTAAGATATCGAATTTTTGAAGAAAAAAAAAATGCTAATAACATCGAATTAAATAAAAAATATTATTATAGCATTTTAATAAATCGACATATAATTAAAACTATTTAAAAAATAAGTCTGTAAAATAGTTTTATTTCTACATTAAAATGCTTTATATTTTTTATGAAGTAATATTGACTTAAATAAAATATCGACCATATAATACTTTCTTTGCACTTTTTTGCCAACTTTAGACAGCGCATATATTATTATTATACCATTATCTGAAGATAATGGTATACTTTCAAAATCATGATTGACGTATATTATAAGATAAAAAAGTGGAAAGTTTGATTATAAAAAAGTTGCGAAGCTAACATCGTTAAATATGATATATTCAGATCCTTTGAAAGCAATTTGCGAAATATTTTAAATAGATATTTACGTGTATTGAATGTAGATTATTAATTTCGCCCGAGATAATAATCCCCTTTCGCTCATTCTATCTTTCTTTGCGAGTCCAGATTTATCATGAGATCGATTATCGTACCATTATGTAATTGCATCAACATGCATCATATTTAAAAAAAATCGATTGCAAGAATAGAAATTTGGCTAAATCACAAAATAACATAATTTTTTTTCTTTTTCATAAATTCATAATAATTTTACGATTTTTATTATTTCTATTTTCGTTACTATTTTTCAACTTTTTGTCTAGAAAAAATATTCGACATTAGAGTTATACATTCCCGCTTTTGCTATCGAGATTTATGATAAATTTTATTTTGTTTTAAAAGAAAAGAAATAAATTTTTAAGCTCAAATTCTAATATTAATTTCTTTAATTATTGAAGCCTAAGTAATACCAATCAGACGGTCCCATTGCTGTTGTTGACTGTTGGTTTATCCATCGCGTCGTTATTATTAGAATTCGTCTTGGTGACATCCACCTGATTGGGCTTCGTGATGTTTTTCGGTCCGTCCAGGAAGTAAGTTATCATACTACCTTTTCCTTTGACCTGGATTGTCCCACGACAAGTTAGCGGATATCCTTTGGGGATCAAAATATCGCGCACCTCCTGGGTGACTTGAATCCCGTCCAACACGCCCGTCGAATCCATCCTGGAGGCCACATTCACGGCGTTGCCCCAGATATCGTATTGCGGCTTTCTGGCGCCGATCACACCGGCTACCACCTGCGTAATTTATGCGACGTGCATTAAGTCTCTCCTTGAGAATCCATAGTGACTTTACCGATATTCTTTCGCAGCTGAGTACGAGATACAAAGTAATAAAAATACAATGTGAGAGAATACTATGGAAAAATTGAACATCTGATGCATATCAGAGCATATATGAGGTTTAATCAAGCTTTAAAATAAAAAGAATAACATTTATTTTTTTTGCGAATATTTAAAATTTTTCGCAAAGTTTATATTTTTAACTATCTCCTCTATTTAAAAGTAAGATAAAATATAATTTTGATGCCGTTATAAATTTTTGATATGTCTTTGGATTCTCAAATGATGTGTATTTTCGTTTCTAATTAACATAGTATTTACAAGTGACACAGGTGTGATTACAAGGGAAAATTACACTTCATGGTTTCTGATAATATTACCGGTCCGATGTTGATGCCCACACGCATGCGGAAGTTATTAAAGCTGTGTTCATTGACATAGGCCAGCTGCTCGCGGATCCTCAGAGCGTAATCCGCCATGGCAACTACGTGCTTGAAATCCCGCATGTCGCAGGTGCTTTTCGTTAAGCCTGATGCAACAGAGAGAGAGAAAGAGACAAAGGTTAACTTGGCGCGACGGCATCCTGATCGCAAGTGTCCTTCGTAATTTGATTAGCGAGTCCACGCTGTCGGAAAATTGTTAGGAAGTTACGAGTGGTCGTGGAAAATTAGATTTATTTTCATGCAATATGTAAAACTCTATTGAAATAAAAATGGCAATTTTTTTTACATGAACGTGCATGATAAGAATACATTCTAGAAAGCGATTTTGAATAATTATCCAAGTTAGTTACACATATGTCTAGCGAATACTATGTATTTTATATTATTATCGCAAACCAATTAGAGAATTATTAAACTAATTTAATAATTTATAATTGGATGAATTTCGGTCGAGCCTAGCAATTAAATAGCGCATGCTGTTCTTTTAAAATGATGAAAAGCCGATAGCTCGGGAAGCCTTTGGGGGAACGAATCAAAGGCTCATATCGATGCTGCTAAGAATTTGCGAGAAACTTACCCGATGCTGCCATGTACGTGGCTCCCGTGCTCTTGATCTTCTCGATGTACTTGAACTGTTCCTCGGCGAGTAACTCGTCAAAGTCAGCGATGATCTCGTTGAGAAGCCTGAGGCATTCTACGCCCTCATTATTCGCTTCGAGCTCAACGTAGAACTCCGAAAAGTTTGGGATCGAGGCGAACATAATGCATACACAATCGCATTGTTCGTGATACAATTCCTATGAAATAATCGATTCATTATGTTTTGGCTTTTGTTTAATTATTTTTTATCGAATAAAAAATTGAGAAAATCTTTTACAGGAATTTATTAACTTTATCATTAAAAATATATAATAATCTTAAGTTTCAATAACAATTATTTTTTGATAATTTTAAATCTCCGGTATAATTTCTTATATTTTTTATTTTAATGCACTTTTAAAATTCAATTTCAAACCATTGAAATGTGCATCTTAAAACTAACTCGAAATTGAATATTGAGAATCGCTTAGGAGCGAGATATGATAAATTAGGCAAATGGATAAATAATTGAAATTTCATGTTAATTTATACATAAATAAAAGCTTCTTAATCTCTAGGACTAAATATTAAAATTCTGATAATGGCTCTCTTAATTAAATTATATTGTTCGTGCGTGCGCATGAATAAATTCTTTCACTGACCTTTTCATAGTTGACGACTATAATATAAAATTATTTACCATTTAATAATTGATATACTTAATTTAACCAGATTCATTTAAATAAGAAAAAATATAAGATAAAAAAAAAACGAAATTGTGATGCTTTTATAAAACTGCCGCCAACATGAGATATTCTTGCAAGAGGGTTGTAAAGGCCAATTAATTTTCTTAAGATAAGTTTTAAGATGTTACTTTTTTATCATCAGCTTTCAGATGCAAATTACTGTTTAATCTATAATCGGTTAAGAAATATCAAACTGCATATTACAAATATTCTTTTCTCACATCTATTGTATTTCAAGTACGCTACTTGTCATGCGAATTACAAAAGAGTTATTTAACAATTAGGTCGAATGTACAGGAGGAAAGTCATCTGTTTTATTCAAATTAGAAAATTGTAATATATAACAACAAATCTATATAAATTCTATATAAAATCTATAGAAAATTATTAAATTGAAATTATAAAATACTTATAAAATAATTAACAAATTAGTTTCAATAGCAATACGAGTCGAGCGTCGATGTTATCGATGTTATCGATGACATATTTATTTATTTATTATACAATAAAAATCATGAATTAAAAATAAAAATAAAAATAACAAGAAGGAATAGCGAACGTTTCTACTATCTAGTTCAAAATTATCTGTTAAAGACTAGTCGATCTTCGTCTTTGGAGATGTTGATTTGTTTCCATTTGTCTCCTCGACTCGTCATTATCTTCGACGGCTGGAAGTATGTTTCATTTCATAGTTTTAACTTTGATTTCTTTAATTTTTATTTCTTTTTGACTCTATGTTCAGTTTATATTTATTTAAAAAAATTTTTAAAAAATGAACATTTAATTCTTTGCATCTTTTTAATCTTTTTACGTTAAATTTTAATATTTTTTCCATTATATATTAGCTTACATTAGCCATTTATCTTGTTTCGCCTTTATTTTACATCGTCAAGATAATGAGATACCGAGACATTTAGTATTACTTTGGACGGCATCCTATCTTATCGATTCAGATATGTAACACCTTTGTTATATTTTTACCACACCATCACATTTACGCTGAAGATGACCCAAAAATAGGGTCGAAACGTTCGCTATTCCTTCTTTTTATTTTTATTTTTATTTTTAATTCATGATTTTTATTGTATAATAAATAAATAAATATATCATAACATCGACTCTCGACTCGTATTGCTATTGAAACTAATTTGTTAATTTTATATTTCGAGTCTTATACCTTTATTATTTATAAAATAATTATAAAAAAAATTATAAAATAATTATTATATGACAACGTAATAGCAATTATACATCATATTTTAGCGATGCTGCCGCTATAATATAATTGAAAAATAATATTATGAATATATAAATTATATAAATAATATTATATTAATAAAATATGCTATGTATAATTGAAAAAGTTGAGAATTTCGACGAAAAGTTTTTACACCGAACCGAACTTACGTCTGAATTGACAGTAGACAGAAAGTGGGCAGCCACGTGTTCGGGAAGTATGTTTGCGAGCAGTTTCTGGTTGTAGGCTTTTAAGTGCTCCATTTCCTCCTTCTCCTCAGTCGCTTGTAACTTCCATAGGAAGTCTAATCTGTATTGATACACACCGTATATATTAATTTTCCTCTACACTATCGAGTCAAAAGAGTTCGTGATTCTTTCTCGCCAAACAAGTATTTATGTTCTTGGATTTTACGGAATGTTTCATGTGTTTCATAGATATCGTTTCTTTTTTAGAATTTTCAATTTAACGAAATGTTGCATTTCCTTTTAATGCGCATCAATAATTCTTAGTAGATAGTTCATTAAGTTTCACATATAATTGTATGTTTTCTAAACATCAATATATATTCATGAAACATCCCTTGAATAAATTTATTCTCTCTGTATCGTAGTTTCTTGTCTCGACTATGAAATTATTCCACGGGAGTTCAATTCACGAGAGAATTGTCGCGACCACGTTTCAACGAAGCTCCTCGTGGGAAATTCCACAAGGGCCTTAAAAGCTAATAGCATGCAGCTCGAGATACATCTATGAGCTGACTCTGCTTAAGTTTCGGGGCCATTGTTTTGTAGCGGTGAAAGGCTCGTTCGAATGTCAAACCTGTAAGTTGCCTCTGTGTGTTGGGAGTGTGCCACTAAGCAGGCCATAAAGAAAACCACCAAAACGCCCGCCAACCATCTTCCAGCGGGCTCGATATCGACCTCATTTAGTGCCTGGTTAATGCTGATCCCGAGATAAAAAATCACAACGATGCTCAATACGGTTACTTTAAAGACCAACGTTAGAATCTGGTACACGGCGCACGTCACCATCACGAGCATCACCAGAACCGGAAACAGCTGCAATCATTGACGATTGCGAAGTATTAGTCGTCATTTCGTGAAAATTACTCTCCAAAAATATTTTCATTAAAAATCTTTTTTTGAAATTGCACAAAACAATGATACCGCGTATTTTTAATCTGATTTATAGAAATTAATTATAATATATTAATTATAATTAATTATAATCTTCATTATAATTAAGTATATTAATATATTAATTATATTAATAGAAATTAATTATAATATTTTAATTATAATTAATTTCTATATAATTAAATTTTCATATTATAATATATCAATTATATAGAAATTAAAATTTTTTATTATTAAAAGATAATTATATGCATTAAGATTGCGCGATTTTTTTAAAATTAAGAGTACAAAGGTGAATCTCTTTGGAAATTAATTGAGACATTATCTGTTATCTATTTTTCGTGTCTTGATGACTTCGCGAAATAACGAATATCTCGACTTTCGTCGATGTTTATTACACTTACGTCGCAGAAAAGGATATAGTCACATATGCTGACACTGTCGTTACTCTTTGTCGGAATTCTCTGTACGGTGGAATTCTTGTCTAGCCATTCTGCGGCGAAGAGCGAGGTGTTATTGCTGGTGCAAGCCTTGCTTCCTTCTAATGTGATCTAAAAAAGAAAAGCAACACGAACCGGCCGTTATTTACCACTTTTATTGCGTGAACGCAGATCTGAAAGGTGTAATATCTGGCATACGATCGACGTTTCTTCCGCTCGCTCGTGATTTAAACGTTTGCGGCAATACTATTTATTCCGCGGCATTTATGATTGATCACTCTATCGACATTCGCGCGATTTATCGTTGAAAGTTTTAACGATGGCGAAATCTAATTTATGTCACGCTGTTTCAGCAAAACGAGTTTTCTAAATCTAGAGCGGGATTAATCATCAGAAATTCATTGAAAATGAAAACATGAAAAGAGAGCATGTCGAAAACTACTTGCTTGATAAATTTCTCGATAAATTACTTGATAAATTTCTCGATAAATTTCTTGACACATTTGTCTCTAATATTGAGATTTGTTTCACAAAAAAAAAATAAATAAAAATAATAATAAATAACAATAAAAAGAGGCAGTTCAGAGAGATCATAAAATGCAAATAGTAGCCATAATTTATGGGCGCATCGATCACTTACCAACGGTGACAATACCGTGATGAACGTCAAAAAAACGACGATGGACGCGATGCTTTGCGCGACGATGCGATTTTCGAAGATCTGTAAGGCTGCGTTCCTCACCCACTGCGGTACTCTCTGTAAAAAACGCGCACGATTACCTTCATTTTTCGATTAATTAAATCCGCTAGGTAAGAAAATGATTTCCAGGATTATTGAGAGACCGTGAGAAGAAAAGATGGAGGAGAGAAAATTTACTGCTGGGATCGATAATTTTGACAGTGACCTGATAGCCTGCCGCTTGGTGAAGGTCAAGTGGCACTCTTCCAGAGATTTTTTTCTCGTCATTGACCCGTAGTGATACGTGATGTATCACGCGATTTAAATATCGCGCTTTTATATTAGACGTATATGATACGTATTCCGACATAATTATCGGAGGAAAAATTTTTATGGAATAAAATTTTGCAATATTTGAGAGATATCGCGAAAAATTATACGTAACTATACGTAATTATAGTAATTATATGTAATTATATTTTAATGATCTTACCTCGTTCTTTTCCGCTAATAAAACGGCATTGACTAAGGCTATCACCAATATGCTTATCGCGGTGCAAACGTAGAAGTATACGCTTCTGAAAAATAGAAACACTTTCAGAGCAATTTTTTCGAATGTTTTGCGTTTTTCTTATCGCAAGAGATTAATATAGACTCCATGAAACGTTGACAATTAAAAATTGAAGATAAGAAATTTGAAATTAAAGATAGGAACAAAATTTTGACTTGCAAAATAACATAATAGTATCACAACTACTGAATCATGTATATTTTGTATATATACACAGTAAAAAGTAAAATGTTAATTTTAACATTTTTCATATGTCCCAGAAAGTCCACTCTAAATTTTAAGTTAAAATAATTCATTCGTATATTACTTTTTGACAAACTAAAAATGTTAATTAACTGACACAATACTTTACATTTATTTTTGTTATTGTGACTTTAAGTAATGTAAAAATAACATACAAATTAATTAAAAATTAAATGAAAAAATAGTTACAATAACTTATAAGAATTATTGTAGGACATTAACATAATATAATAGTAATTATTTTCATTTAAATTATTTGTAATAGAAACATTTGATTTTAGTAAATTTGATTATTTTGTATGTCAAAGTTTAAGATTATTTGAAGATTTACTTTAACTTTTCTTAGAATGTTAAACTAAATTTGAGACATGTTGATGGTTTAAAATGATTATGTTAAAAATATTCAAAATAATATTCCATTTTTAAGAGACATATACAAAGTGTTAAATTATGAAGTTGATATAAATATAACACATGAAAACGTTATAAAAATAATAACATAAAAGTTGCATGTTAATGTTACATTAAAGTACTAATCAAAACGTGGAACCCAAGAAAATTTTAACATATGGACACACAATTTTTTACTGTGTATTTATTTAGAGTAGAAATCTCGAAAAGATAGAGATTTAAATTCTTGTTTCCTACTCAAGTATGAAATAATTATTTTCAGACTAAAGATGCGAATTAATGAATGAAATGGGATAATTAAAATAATGTAAAATTGTGATACACATCACTTGTTCATTACCAATTCAAAGTTCAAGGAACAGAATATTCCGAATATATTTTCATTCGTTATACGTTACATTTTCGTAGCTGTAACAAATATACATGTATTAACTTTTTTTTTAAATTTTTTAAATATTTTTTTATTAATTGATCTGAACAACGATCAATATACTCAGGCCAATAACTGGTTTAAATTTTGTCTACGGCTAAAATCCTCGTAAGAGATTAAACTCAAAAATTCTTGTCCGAAGTACACACACGTAAAACACGCACCGGTTCAAGGCCGGTAACGGTCTCTGTATTAACTATTGAATGGTATTTTCTTCTGTGACGTATACCGCTACTGTTTACATGTGGCCGCTTTGTTGTCCTTCGCGCGAGTAGGAGAGGGGGTAGGAACAGCGTAAAACGTCGCGTAAGAGAGGGGATAGCAACAGCATAAGTCCGCGACCTATATTATTCTTCGAGACGCGACCGTAAGACGTCACGATCATTCGGTAGTTACTATCATTAATGAAACGGAGATTCCAATTGGGATAAAACATATATATGTGAATCGTGAGTAGTGTGAAGGTACAAATATTGTGTAGAAGGTGGAATTTATCGACCACGTGTGTATTTACCCAGTGAGGGTGATGGCTATTGCGACCACAACGACCATGTAGACGAAACCGGAGCACACGAAGTAAGCTGAGAGCATCCTGTCTCTTTCTCGCGAATACTGCAACAGGTAATTAAAACAACTGCAATATCCGGTATTGTTTTCATTTGCACTAGCGAATATTTATCGTTAATGCATTTGCATTTATTTCAACTGTTGGTTTCTCATTACGAACAATTCGTGAACAATTCGAAATTTTTGTTTCAACGCGAAAATATAGAATGCAAATCGATCGCGAGGGGCGATTAAATCACGCGGAAGCCGGATAATCCAAATACCCGTTTAGCGAATTAACCAAAATTTAATTAAATTTAAACGGACTTCTATTAATGGATTACCGCGCCGATTAGTTGAATTTAATCGTATACGCAGTATGAACATGTAATTATAACTTGTATTTTGTATGTATTACTATTATAAATTAATTGCGAACTCTCGAAATAATACGAACGTAAAATATAACTCTCCCGAGTAATTAGTACATTCTATAAAAATAATATTTTTATAATAAAAAATAATTATAAAAAACGAGTATTTTATGAAATTTCCAATAATAAAGATTCGATAATAATTCTAATAAATATCATTGCGTTAATTATTTTATATTAAAATTCATTTTATTAAAAGATACAAGATTATAAAAAATATACATATTCATAATTCGAGGATTATTTTTACGTTTTTTCTTTAATTTAATATTACCTTTTCTTCGACATCCGGTCTTCGAAATTTCAATATAAAGGGTGTACAATGTTCCGCTCTCAATCGATCTATGCTTCTAGCATCGATTGCTCGCATCAGATACTCGTTTACCTCATCTTCGGGGTCCTTTTCGCTCTCGATAATTTCACCGAAGCCTAATCTACTAATAAAACATACGGCAAATGTTATTCAAATATAAGATGACGATGTTGATCATTTCATATTTGTAACGTTTATTACAGATCAATCGCGTTATTTTTATCAATTTATTAATATGATATTTTCATTTATTTTATTATTTTTCTGGGAACGAGTAAAAACAAATAATTAAAATAATTATTGTGTAAATTGAAAAATCGCGGATAGGACAATTTATACAATTATCTTTTGATTATCGCAGAATTATTAAGAACAATTTTATTCCGTTTTAGAATTTTTTAGATTTTTCGGAAATTACTTGAGTAATATTGTATATTGTTATCTGTGACGCTATATCAAGAACTAAAAGATTAAGCAGTAATAATTAATGAGTTCTTACTTGGTTTGTTTTCCGTGTTGCGAGCCATGGCCCATAACCCTCATCTCTTTAGACACGTTACCGTTCGCTGGAAAATTCTTTCGCATCCCGGAACTAGTTATATTGTCCTTAAACGTATCTCCAGGGACAATTAAATAAGTTCTGATGTTGTGGTCCTTTAGATACGCGTTTCTCTCGCCTCCGCGACCTTCCTCGACTTCGTAATATCCTCCCAAACAATCTAAAGTCTCTTTTGTGATGTGCACGCGTCTGCGAAATACCATACCCTTCATCTCATTCTTCTCACCTGACACTTGTTATTGTTACATTAAATTATCTTTCAACAGAGGATATATATTTTTTTGCAAATATATTTTTTTGCAAATATATTTTTTTGCAAATATATTTTTTTATCTAAATAAATTTCGCAAGCACAGTAAAGTTTTATACGAAATATTCGAGATATTTAATAAGGAACAAGACACGCATAAAATTGTACCGGTTCACGGGATGTAATTTATCGCTATCAATCGGGGTGAGATTTGAAGAGAGCGAGTCGATTGAGGGCTGACATATCTCGAGCAAAATTGCTCGTACTTACCCGGGTATCCCTCCGCTTTCCATGTAATTGGCTAGGGTCACGTCGTTGCTCCAAACATCGAACTGCCATTTCCTCAAGCCGAGAACCCCGCAGTGAACCCGGCCCGTGTGGATGCCAACTCTCATATTCACGTTTACGGCCATTACTTCGCGAACCAATCTACGAAGAGATACGGACGCGTCGAGTTATTGTTTCTTCTTTGCCGTCATTAGGCGCAGAAGTGGCCGGATAATCGAGCTAGCATGCAATAAAAACAAACTTTGATCGTTAAGCGTAGCTCGAAGAATGTTATTTCGATGCTCGAACTATAGGATAGGTCAAAGTATTTTCATTATTAATGAAACGCGAGAAGACAAATGTGTTATATTTTAACGCGTAAATATTCTATTCTCTTTCGCGACACGATTAATCCACATTCGATTGCAATAGTTATTATTCGATATCTCTCGATTTCTTCTCTTTTCATACATGATTTCTCGTGCGTTTTTATCCGCGCATTGGCTGCGTTCAGCAGAAGAAACTGCTTTGCAACTGCTGTAAAATTTGTGAGCCTGATTGGTATATGCTCTTAGTTTCGACTGAATCTAAGAGCATACCCAAATCAGATTCACGAATTTTACAACAGTTGCGAAGCAACTTTTCCTGCTGAACGCAGCCATTGACTTTCTGTCGCGGTTTGACAGAAGGGTTTTCGCGCAAAGTATTTCGAGCGAGAGAAACTAACAGACACTGTCAAATTTCAACGAAGAGAAATTTATGACGAGGATTTAAAGCGAGATTAAATTTGGAATTTAAACGCGTATATTCGCCGGGAATTTATCTGCAATTCAGTGATCCATGGAAAGACCAGAGGGTCTTTCATGATGCTCGTATTTCGATGTATCGACCTCAATCGCATATACCGTGCTCTCTGAGGAAATCTTCTCTTTGACGTTTTATGAAAACACGAATGAAACGAAAGCGAGACATATAGGATGCAGCTACGCCGATAGTTTTGCGGTCGTCTCGTGGATATAAACGAAAGCATCATTTATTGCTCATATGTTACTTTGATCCGTTTAGTTCGCTTCCGGGCAGCTTTCGATATTCTATCTTCAACTATTTCATCTTGCGTTTTTCCTTTGTCCAATGTCAAGCATCAGTAGGATATAAAATACTACGCGAACCTTTGACGTTGCCGACGAAACCTCTATGATACGGATTTTTTTTTGTTATTTTATGATTTCAAATAGGATACGTTTTAAACCGCGATAAAATTTTTATTTTGCTTTAATTGTATTTATCGTTACACAGAAAAAAGAATAAAGCGTTCATTGTTTCGTATACACGCAACAATTTATAATCTTCTTAGAAGAATTTAATACTTTTAAATTTCAACAATATTATCGTCTGACTTTAATATTGTAATTGTCATCTCAAGAATATATAATTATTTAATTCTACTTTAAAAAAATTATAATGTTTGATTTAAAAATATTATTTTCCATCGGACATTGTTTCTTTTCCATTCGAGAAAATTAAATCTTAAATCATAAGAATATATTTTTCTTGAACTATATAAAATGGCTTCATTTAAGTAAGAAATTATTCAAGCAATTATATTTTTCTTTAATTAACGCAATATAATTCCATTTCAAGATTTTCATGTTAAAACTAAATATATTTTCAGAACAAAAATGTCCTTTTTTCTGTGTATCTATACCATAAAAAAAAATTTGATTTAGCATGTTTTAACAATAAAGCTTTATTACATATGATAAAAATTTAATGAAGCTTACGCGAAGGTAAAGTAAAGAAACATGCAGACTTACGTTATTGCATCTATCATGTCCAATCCCATCTCTACGCAACAATGAGCATGATCGGGTCGTGGCTCCGGAAGTCCGGAAACGCAATAATAACAATCCCCGAGGAGCTTTATCCTGAGGCAGTGGTGCTCAGAGGCTAGCCTGTCAAACCTGCGAAGGATTTCCGACAAATTTAACGCCATGATTCATTTAAACGCAATAATATCGAAGAAACTGCTTGACTCTGTCGAGCGAGAAATTTATAAGAAATCAAGAGAAACCTTTTTCGTAAAAATATTACGTAACGCTGTGACTCTTGCAGCTAAACAGACTCGTGAAAGCCACGCTCGTAACACTGTGGATAAAAATATCTACTATTTTTTCCCACGTACACTTCATATTTCACGTAACTTTGCAATATTTTTCTAACGTAATTTCATATGAAGCCATAATATCAGGCGTTTTTATTCATATCAAAATGTTCGTTAAAGCTTTCTTTGTAATTTATAATTAAGTATACCGTATCTATAGATATATTTTTTAATCTAATTTTTATTATTATCTTTTTCTTAACATTGACTGAATTGGTTCAATACGAAAAGGTGATCGAGTAGGATTACGTGATATAAATATGATTAAATTAATTCAAACGATAGATAGAGATAGCACGTCAACAAAAGGAAAGACCCTAACAGCCGGTAGATAATCGGTTTATTCAGATTAGATATTCAGTAACGTCGCACTCTGTGCGGTGCATATTATACGAAATTAATTCGGGGCGCCGGAAGGGTGATATTAATATTTCACGCGCGGCAAATCCGCGTAACACATAGGGTATATATTATGTTAAACTAGTTAAATATGATATATACACAAAATAACAATCTCGATGGAGCTGCGTATATAGTTGCGACGTGAATATGGCAATTAAATAATTTGATTATTAACATATTATCGCATAAATCTTTGAGAGTTAAATCGGTAAAAGGGCTTTTTATTCCTGCCAACCGCAGGCTGCCGCAAAACGAAGGAAGTACGCATTTTTATTTCATTATTAATATTGAAATATCATGCGCAACATTTACTGTTTATTTATTATACAAAATGCATAAAAGATATGTGCTTTTGATAAACATATTTTGCATAAAAATATTTAAAAGTAATCGATTGGTAATTTTTTTCAATATAAACTGAAAAGGTATACGCGATATATTATTATTTTTTAATAATGTCAGAATGAGGAAAATTTTATCTCGCATTCTTTATCGAGATTCGACGTTATTTACACTCTTTTATGTTCTCTATCTTATCGCCCCGAGCATTCTTTCTAAGAGGTAATTTTGTCTTTTATTGTGAGAATGAAGGCGTTGCATTTACAGAAGCTCAAAAAGTGATCTCTCTCTTGTACTGACACATGAAAGCCGCCTTTATGAGCTTTTAGCAAATCCCTCTTGGTACTAGGATAAGTAGACCCTATTGACCCGAAAAGTCACCAGGGACACGAAATCTAAAGCTGTTGAAGCCCTTTCCAAGGGCTCGTCGGACATAAGGAATATGACTCGATCGAGGGAAACTTGGAGGGTATCAACGGTGCCGAAAAACTCTGGCTACAAACATAAGACATATGGTATTCGTCAAGATAAAGGGGATAAAGGTTTAATAAAAATATATATTAAATATATATTTAATATATATTTTTATTAAAGCTTTATCCTCCTTATTAAATATTAAATATATATTAAAAACTACTCTCGAAAACATAATATATTTAGAACATTCTATGAATAGCAGCGTGTTATTTTTATTATTCGTGAATCTAGAAATATTATGCATTTTATACGATACAATTTTAGTTTGACATCTCGGATGATCTCTCTCGTGTGGGTGGAATAGTCGGATCAAAGGAACTTTCATGGACGTTATGTAATTCGATTTGAAGATTACAATAATGTGACTTGTATGTAGTTTGCGAAACGCAAACGCGTGTCAAAGTGATATTAAACGATACAATTTGTTCGCAAAACTGCAAAGGGGATTTATATCCGTGGATATAAAGAGAGTATTCTGTGAACCGGAGAAACAAAAATGTTTACGAGACCCAAGAGATCAATGTTGAAAAGAACAAAGGAAAAAGAAATTGATATCGCGAGTCAAATAAGATAGAAATCAACGTTGTTGATTTATGCTGCTGCATTTCTTTTAAAGTCGCCAGATTTGTGAAAAGTTTTATGAAATCAAAAGAATTCAATACATATATAATTGTTATAGAAAAGCGCAATTTTTCAAGATTTATGCATTAAAATTATATTTTGTTTTTTGTAGCAATGTTCAAAAATATTGATCTTACAAGTGTACGTTTCGAAAAATTCATGGATAGGAAAAATATATAAATATAAAAAAATAATATTTATTTTGAAAAGGAGAAACAGTAAAATGCTTTTTGTTGTAATGTTTATCTATCTTAATATGTGTGAGACTTTTAAGCAAATTTAAAGCTAAAAGCAATAGTTTCTTTTTTATAACGTTTCTCTTACCGTGCAAAAAGTTCATTGAGCAATCTGACGAGTTCTTCGGCAGTGCATTGATCGGAGAGCGAAGTAAATCCACAAATATCGGCGAATAGAATACTGAAATATTTGAAACTAAATAAATATCTACATAGTTATTTATTTTCACGTTAAATTCGCTTTAATCATAATATATAAATTCTGGGCAAACAAATAATTTTTGATAATTAATTTTAACTATAAAAGATTTTTTTAAACAGTCAAATGTTGACTTAACCACTTGAAAAGAAAAGAAAGGTCTAATGAAAAATTGTCAGCTCGCGGAAACTCATTAAAGTTAAATGAACGTGATATTTGCTCTTTGCAAATTCGCCGGTTAAGTTAAATTGATCCTAGCTTAGTGAAATGTCAGATATGAAAGTTTGGATGTTACATCTCAACCCATTACAAGTCGATCTAGAATTCTCTATGTGGTACTGCGTACATTTAAATCAGGTGCACGACATAACGCATTAAATTTCCATTTTGAAGTTCACAATTATAATTACATGATCGAATAATTATGTCATTTTGAATTCAGCATAGGATAACATTGTTCGTAACAATTGTATAATGTAATGATAATAATATAAGCTATAATAAAAAAATTTCTTTGAATTAAAGTGATAAAGTGGATTTGAAAGTGACAAATATTGAAATAGCATTTTTAAATAATTTTTTTTAAGCGCGTAACTTAAGTGATTATTATTCAATATGACGTACCTGACATTTTCGTGTCTTTGAATATAAATTTTGTGAAACATCGTATCCTTTGGCTTTCCGGCTATATCGGCTTTCATTTCCATGGCCACGTGTCTAGGTAATACGCTGAGCAGAAGTCTTTCCTGAAAAATAAATTAATATCATAAAAGACAATCGATTTTGATGTATAATTTAAAAATAAATAAGATAAATAAGATAAATAGAGGGATATATAATAAAGTACAATAGAAAATCATGAAAATATGAATTCAAATATAAGAATTCAATTATAAAAGCATGTTATTGAATATAACTATAAAAGCATAAATCTTTAAATCTTAATAAACTTGAAATAATAAAAACGATAATTAATTTTTCCATCTTCTATCTTTATTTGCCGATAGTTTTAATAATTATTCAAAAATACTTTTATATTTCATCAGATTAACTAGCATTATATTATGCTAACTCATTTCATTTATGTGATAATGGATCGATAATAGCCATTAAGTTACACCTTGAGAAGGATTTCAAGTAATCTGTAACAAGGGGTAACAGGATTATAATAGATAAATCAATGTGAAGAGGAGTTGCAGATTAATTCAGCCTTGAGAGTTAAAGTTCATTATTTGGATAACCATCGAAGATATACATACTACGCGTATATATATTTTATCTTGATAATATAAAATATGTTGGAATCATTTTTTAACTTAATCGAGTATTCTTCAAACTTAGTGATTTGTTCTAATATAATTGTGACGTTCTTAGAAAATTACACGCGATTGAAAAAGAAAATAAACTAAATTTATGCTATATGCAATTGAATAATAAAATGCATAGAATTATTTAATAATAAATTTAATAATAAATTTTATATTAATATTAAATGAATTAATAATAAATTTAATATTTATTCGCGTGATATTGTTTAGAGAGTACCACGAATAACATGTCGTTTTCTTATCAAATATGAAAAACGGTACGAGTTGCATGTAACAATGCGTTCCCACGATCGAAACGGGAATCGTATAATACCGTGAAATGAAAGAACAACTTTTACGATAGCCGATAATCTTTGTTATTCTACAGGGATCATGTATATCGAATTGACATACCACCCTCACTGCTTGCGGGGGAGCAATATTGCGCGGCGCTTTGTTCGACACGTAGATCTCGTCAACATCGTGGGAACTTCTCAAGTGCGGACGAAGTCGATGACAAGCGTTCGACAAGCTTTACGTTGATGATCGATACGCGTCGGACATAGCTGTGCGCTTTTAGAATCGCGATATGTATGTTCGCGTAACACAGTATGCAATCGCGATTCTATGCAATGTCGATTCTACATAAAGCGTCCCAAGATTTTTATCGAGACTGCTATTTATTTTGATGCCACCAACGATGTTGACGACTTACGAATATTTGACAATATTAAATATTAAACAATATAAATATATTAAATATATGAAATATTAAATAATATATTAAATATATGAAATATTAAACAATATATTAAATATATTAAATATTAACATAAAAATAGGAAAAATAGTCTTATTCACCATTATTTTATTTTAATTTTTTTAAAGGTGAAATTAAGTAGGATAAATAAATTCTAATTTAATTGCATTTTCTTTCAAGAATTTTTTGTTAAAAATTTTATTTTAAATTCTGAAAGTGGGTTATTTTCTGTTGCTATTTTGGCATTCTTCTCTTCTAAAATTGACTTTGTCAATATCGTTGAATGAGAAGAGAGGAATATAGGCTCGCGCGTGTCTCGGTGCACATTATTCGTCGTTAAACGAGCATGCACGTTCGAGGCTGTCACATATATATTGAGTGATTGTGGGCGATCGACGAGTAGACGCGAATAATAGCCGATGGATATCGCGACAGGTCACAGATTTCTGATTAATAGCATAAAGCCGGCGGCCGGTCGGATGGCCCATCATGGTTATGAGCGATGCTCGATAAGATGCTAGCTTTAATAGATCATCGCTGCTTTCTGGCAATTATTTCGATTTCAGTTATTTTTGTGCGCTGAAGTAAATTGTCATCAGAGAATTAGGACTGTGTATCTGTCGCGTGGTGATATTTTTAATACCGGATACACAATGAGATTTAATATCTTGAAAAAAATATTTATTTGATTACTTTTACGTGTATATAATATTTAAAAATTATGAGATTTTTTTTAACGTTAATAATAGAACGCATTCTAACGAAAAATAACTGAAAATATAATATGAAAAATAAAAATACAAGTAATAATTACGAATACACACATATACACATACATATTACGATGAAAAATAAATCGGTAATAAAGCTGGAATTTTCTGTTTTATTATATTTAATTATTGACAAAAATATTATTACTTCGATGTTTATTGTTATTATTTTTGCAAAAATTTACTTATACAACGTTAAAAAAAAAGACAGAGGTGTAGGTGTGCTTTAATACAATACATCAAACGTACATTGAAGCAGAACAAATAGTTAATGAACAATCGGTGCGGTCTGTTTTATTGAAGTCTTGTGCAAATAACTCGTCTATTATTTTTCGACTGCTGGACAACACGTTCACGCAAAATAAATTCACCGCGGCTTTGTTGGTCGACTAACACATGTTCGGAGCGAATTCACGTGCTTTTGAATACACACGCAATATTGTTTTAATACACGTACCAAGCTTCTATTAGCAACAGTGAAGTACAGTGGCATTATCGAGTCCGTGATATTGTAAAATAATTAACGATTTACGCAATATCGTTCAGCGCGCTAACGAAATAAAGTTTTCATGAAAATCATTAACAATAATACGCCCGCTCGCTCACGAGGTATCCAACAAAGGCCTATTCAAGGGTGTAGGTTGATTCAGTACGTTACTGTTCATTAAACCACCGCTTTTTGCGACATAATAATTCCATGAAACGTTGCTTCCCGTCAATTTGCCGTTGATTGTTCGCGAGAGAAACAATTCAAATATACTCGCACAAATTATTTCTGAAGCAGAAATGTAGACGTATATTGAACATTGTATGTTCAAATGTAACATATTACGTAACGCAAGAGGATATATTTTTATATATATTTTAAAATGACATAACATTGAATCGTTACATTTGCTGAATTTAAAAAAAAATTATATTTAATATCATGATATCTCTCATATACTATAAAAAATCTTAATATTCGAGAAAAATATAATTTTAAATAATGCAATATTATTTTTAAAATTGCGGGTCGGAATGAAATATAAAACTTAATTGCAAACTTATGAAGAAATTTGCGGAAGAATGTTTATTAAACTTTCTATATACTTTGTATATATATTTATTTACGGCTCCTTATGAAATGTTTTATCAGCAAGTTCTTTTTAATTTCCGAATTCGAATCGCTCGTTACTTCTGTTAATATCCCTTGTGCGAGAGAGATTTTTAATCACATGTCCGATATAACGAGATATATACGTGAGTCACAAATTCCTAACGGCGCGTTTTCATCTTCGAGTTGATTGAATTTGTACCGGATATTGTGCTGTTGAATATCTGACGTATTTTAATCGATTTTCGTGCCCATTCGTTGTAGATTTTTTTAATTTGTTCGTTTACAAAATAATCCAACTGAAGATTCATGAAATTTCGCTCTTATGATTTTCATTCGGCTCATTTTTTAAAGCCGTTTCTACTTAACATTTTCCAATAAAAATTATAAATGTCATATCTCTTGTTTCATGATAGAAAAAGATTATTACACTCGAAAGAAATTAATTCTCTGCGAGATAATCTTATAGTTTTTTACTAATATTTACTGATAATATTACTGATTTCAATTAATCGATATTTCTTTCTTCAGAAAATATGCGTTTTACTAGAATTGTCAACATAATTAAAATATCTGGTGGATTATTCTCCTTATGAATGTTTCATCAAGATATTTCTTAGATTTACATTTAAGCTAAAGTTCTATGTTAATTAATTTTGCAAGGATTTTTGAAAATTTGCTTTCTTATTGAAATGGATGGTTTCTAAATATAGAACTCGAAATCTTCATATATTCGCTCGCTCATGTTGCGGTTTACATGAACATTTGATGACGTTATTAATAATTGATAAAGACGTCAATTATTGGAGATTTCGTAGGATGACATCCCAGAGGAATAAGATAATTGCTATTTCCGTGATGTGGCTTTCAATGTCGATTAAGAGGAATTGGTTTAAATATATTTCACGGTGTGTGTTACAATTATTGTGACATTTCTAAACGTGTAACAATATTTTTACCGTTAATAGAGGTTTATGATATTTAAATCATGCGCGGCCGCAAATATATCTTTATCATTTGAGATTATAACAATAACGAATTTATAAATTGGTTCTGTTGAAGTATTTTGTAAAAGATATCTTTAATATAGCGTAACATCTCTCGACAAGAAATATATTTCTTTCTTCAACTACACATAGAAAATAAGATTTTCCAGGTTCTTTTTATGAGATCTTTTATGATTTTATTTATTTTTTCCTTCGTATCGGTAAATAAATTTTATTGTTCACCTTTCGGTTAACTTTTCAATTTTCTTCTTCGGGAAACTTTAGAGAGCTTTTGAAATTTGTTTTCTTTGAATTTTGTGGCTCTTCTTTTTTCTTGACTTATTAATAATATACTTTTCAGTAACTTTGTTTTGAATTATATTTATTACATGCGCATATTTAGAGTTTTATTTTTTTTAAATGTATAACTTTGATATAAATGACATTTCTTAATTTTTTAAAATGAAATTTTACATCCTAAAGTTTTTTTCTAAAACAGCATTAGCTTTATAAATAATTAGAAAATCACTTTTTTTTATTTTAAATACAATTTATTTTTTTTTATCAAGTTTATGTTATTGAAATTATATTTTATAAATTTTTCTACTTTTATTTTTTAATTTTTTTATTAGACATATGTCGAGCCACATATGTAAGTCGAAGTCGACGTACGAATTTTTCGTGAATGCAGCAACGTACCTGTTGCTGATTCTCCCTCTGTGTGGTCAAACGTGCTTCAACACATTGTCGGGTTTCGAGGAATGCCTGTCTTTGCGCCAATTCCCGAGGGTGATGTGTTAGTGCACCGGCTACGTTTGTTCCACCGACTACCACGATTGAACTCAACAGCTGAAACAGAAATAAAATTTTATAATTAAATGAGCTGAACTCAATGCCTTTTTTTCTTGAGTGTCTCAAGACATTCTTGAAATACATTTTTAATTAATATTTTAATATTAATAATTATAATTTTAATATTTTAATTAATTTCTTAGTTCATGCTTAGTTATTTATAAAATTAGAATTTTATCTTTTTTCGTACATTAAATAAAAAGAGATATTAATGTAACTTATTTTTAAAATTATTAAAATATATGTTCTGAAGATTATTATACTATGTCGAGTATATATATATATATATATATATATATATATATATATATATATATTATATACAGGTATATCTTGATATCTTGAGATGCCAAAATATTAAAAGCACTGCATTAATATTTATTTTTGAAAAAATTTCGATACAAATTAGTGAAAATCTTAGTAAAAATTTTAGAAGGAGCTTTTTTTTATTTCGAAAGAGAATTCGAATGAGTGTCTCGTGAAATCTAAAGAGAGTTACATATATATTCGACTGAAAAAGCCATGTTCCTCTACCTGCTCTGTTCAATCGCGTATCTTATCCGATCCGTAATTGAGGTTGCAATCTAGTGCAGTATAGTGAAATCTTTGCCAATTTCAATGGATATCTTCGAAGTCATCATTATATACGGAGATAAATGCGCTATTGTGTCGAGGTATTACATACAATTATGGGGAATTAGATACCATTTCATGCCAATTAATTGCGAAGGAAATAATTTACAGAGTTGCTTTGTTAAACCTATAAATAATATAAAAAAAACTATTAATATAATGAATTTTTTACTCTCTTTTTCTCTGGTGATTATATAAAGATATAAATTACGTAACATAAGTTAATGTTTTTGAAATTTTTGTATTTTAATATATAATCTATTTTTAGATATTCAATAATAGTCACAAATATATTTTATTATTCATGTTAGTCAGACATCGGAAACGAATATCATTCATTAAAAAGATATATCAAATAAATACCTTTTCCAAGCCTTAATAAAAAATTTAAAGCTGCGAAAAAATTTTTTTTAATTATACGCAGTTTTTTGTATAAAAATAATAATATTAAAAAATAAAATATTTTGTTTTTACAAAATAAAAAAAAAATAACTTATTTTTATAATTCTTTCATCATGATTGATGTACATAAATTTTTTCACGTATTTATCTTTAACAATATTATATGTGCTTTTGTCTTTTATTAATTCTGTCTTTTGTTGAGCGAATAACATGCAGTTCTCTTAACGAGGCTGTTATATGAATTTTCTTAAAAGCATTTTGTAATTTGCAAGATAATCAGCTGATTATATGTCATGAAAAACATCTCGCTTGTCAGACTTTTTAGATCCTCGTACGAAATTCATCCTTTATTAAAGCGAATAAGAGATCAGTCGAAGTGCGTTTCTCTCTTCTCTTTCTTTCTATCTTTTTTTTCTTCTTCTTTTTCTTCTCTCTCTCTCTCTCTTTTATTATTACTAACATAGGCGTATACATGTGTAAAGACAACTTGACTTATCTTTCTGACATGCAATATTCAACAGAGCTTTGTAGAATTCTCCTTCAAATTTGCAATGATCCTATTTGCTACGAATAATGTAGGAGAGCCGCGAATCTCTCGAGACCTATGTAACCCTTTAAATAATTAACTCTACTCACACAAAGCCGATTCTGTATGTATTCCCATTTGGCAGAATCTTAACTGACAGGGAGCTAAGTCTACTGTAGCCCAATTAGCCAGGTTGCGCATAATATTATACTCAAATGTGAATTGTGCAAAAATAAATTGATTTAAATAATATTAATAACAATAACATTAATTTCCAAAATTTTGAATGCACAATCAAATTAAAGGGAAAAGTAAATTAAAATGAAGGAAAAAGTAAATTTTATATTTCCTTATAAGTATGTACACCAAATAAGTAGAAACATTAATCAAAATTAAATAAAGTGATTAAAAAATTAATGATTGTTTTTAAACAAAGTAAAAATAAATATAATGAAAGACATCATTATTCTCGGTTTTTATTTTATTTTATTTTTATCTTCTAATACTTTTTTTATATCATACGGATATTATTCTTACTCGAAATTTATATACGTATGGAAATATCTGTTAAAATATTTTTCGAAAGAGATGTCGCAACGGTTTTATTGGATCGCGTGGAAAACTATCGCTCTAAAAATACTACCGAAAAACGTAGCTTACAAAAATAGGTGACTTAAAGGTTCCGAGATGAAAATCCTACAGGTGGTTGTGAATAAATTTGTCCAAGATTACAAGTAAGTTACACGACTATGAAGCAATTTCGTGCAGAATCCGGTGAAAGTCCCTCTGAAAATCCACGTAGAACGAGAGGTCGACCTTAGTTAGGTAGTTTAAACCTAGGTAGTTGTTAAACCTTCTACCTAAGATAGATCAAAGAGCCGCGCGAAAGGTACAAACCACTGTACAAGGTGTCCTGATAATAATCGATATTCGGAGTTTCATTAGACGAGAAGTCCGTACATAACACGAGCCTGTGTGTGTTGCGTCATCGTGCATCGCAACAACGTCTATGAAACTCTGCAAACTCAATGAATAGACCCTTTGATAGAACGGGGCCTTTTGCCCGAAATTTTCCTGTTCGTCGGAGGATGCGAGAGAAATTTAGTGTCACATTGTTTTGGTAAATTACTGTAGTTTGATCGGTTGTTAACTCTGTAATCACATCTTTTGTTACACCGCACAGTTAATGTATTGATGCCTTTAACATAGCGTCTCGTCTTGTCTCTTGCGATATTTTGTTCCATTTTTCGACGACCAAAAATAAATTTACAAATTTTTATCTTGTGCAAAAAAATTATGTAATATATTTAATATTCTTTTCAAGCGTTTGAAGAAATAAAAAAAATAAAAAATTTAAAAGATATATCTTTATATATTTTTTAAATACATATACAAATTTTGTTAAAGAACGAAAAGAAATTTTTGAAGATATGCAGTTTATTCATTTTTTTAATATTCATTAAATTATTGTTATCTTTTTTTAAATACAATCGATCTTTAATATTATTCCAATTATATTTTTATTATTATTATTTTTTCAGTATACTACAAATTAATTAGCATGTCTACAAATTCTAAATTAAGAAAATTTTTTGTGATTTTATCATTTTCCGTATTGTATACCGTATCTTATGAGGCAAGCAAAGAACAGTCGAAATATTTTATTTTTATTTTTTAATTTGTTAAAAAGATAAGAGACTATAAATTCACTGTATCTGTTAAAAAAATAATAACAAATTTCTTTGGAAGGTAAATGTATAGATGCGAGGATTTCGGATAATAAATATTGTCGTAAACTTTAAATATTGATCAATGTGACAGGCAAATGAGTTTCGATTTTTGGCAACCGGAAGGAGGTTTTCATCGTCGTGCTACTGATTCCAAGACCGGTCATCGATTTTCGTTGGCGCAAAATCGCCGCCTTAAATACTTGACCGCGACGGCGTGAAAAAGAAAGCGAGGGTCGCTGCTAATCCTCCTCCATTTCACATTGTGCTTATTGGATCGTGTAACAAGAACATGTTAGGGTTAGGGATCTAAAAATAAGGATGGTATCACTCGGTAGCTGAACCTTCGCTGAGATATTTATCGGGAACGAAACACTTGTGTCTATCGCTTCCTATACGCGAAAACTTCCTGCACTACGCGTTGATAATTATATCAGTGTATAAATCATATTTTATAGATATTCTATATCATTATATGAAGAGACACATAAATTTCTCTTGCCGCTGATCGGAATTCATTTGCTATCGGCTGTTGATTCGAGATTAAACTGATCACGGATGTTTTACGTGCGTAATTTTTATTGTATAATTTTTTTTACGCAAAGGCACTACCTTTTGCGTATCAGATTCAATTTAGCTTTGTTCGATGCCAGTACAGATATATTTACGCGAATCTCACAATCGACGAACATTTCCATGATATCCCATACGCACGTGTGCGTGACTTTGTCAATCCCTCGACGTTATTCACTATTCGCTCGCAATTGCGAATGCACAGCACGTGTTGCATGCAACGGCACACGTGCAATATGCGCTCGGCATATTTGCATCGTGTGCTCCCGCATTTGTAGACTGTGGTAAAATTATTTTTTTACCGTTACTTTTACCTGTAACTTGCATTGATCAATCGCTTATATTTATATAATAAAGAGAGAAAAATGTAAAAATGATTTTAACTTATTCATTAATCGTGGATGAATATAATTTGCAATATTATCGAATTAATCGGCATCGTCAAGATGTCATCAAGATTAATTCCTTTTTTCATCTCTATTAACTTTTTTTTTATCCTCTTTTCATCTGTAATGGGTCTTCGTTTTCCTTTCCTTCGATTCTTTTCTTTTTGAAAGAGAGAGAGAGAGAGAGAGAGAGAGTTAAGATTAATAAAAAATCTTTATCTTGCATTCTGATCCGTCTCTCATTCAGTTTTTATAAATTGCGATCGTAAAAAAGTCGATTTTTTCGTTTTTCATTCTTTGAAATTCCTGACAAATGGAATTCCTGCAAATCCAATTCCACACATTTATGCGAATTTACAGAAATATATGTCTCATCGCTCATCACTCGTCGATTTTTTTTATTAGTTAATCCTTGTCTCTTTTGATTTTGATATAATCCAGTATTAGACATTCTTTTTTCACTGCGTTCCTTCTTCCTTTTCATTCAGCTTATAGCTACTAATCCAGCATTAAAGCTTCTTAGCGGTCTCATTCTCAATCCTCGTTCTATGACATTCATAATCTACTCATTCCTTTTCATTTTTGCTCCTGTATACGTATCCAGTGCTGTCGATACAATGAAGAAAATTTAATTCGCTTTATTGTGAATGCTTTTTCTTTTGAGAATAAAAAATTACAGATGTTTCTTTCAAGATGAAGGCGCTAAATTTTCGCTACTCTTTTAAAAAAATAAAAATAACAATATTGTTT